GACTCGGCAGTGAACAGGTAACAAGACATGCAGATCAAACCGAGAGTATCCAGGAACCTTCCCCCTAACAGCTACACGCCGTCACACGATACGCTCCGATTTCATGTCATCATACCATGTACAGTTAAACCTGTCAAAGCGACCACTCTGATAAGGTGACCACCTGGCCCACAGGACCATTACAACCAGGACCAAGGGATGTTATATCCAGTTAAATAACCCTGGGTAAGGAGACCACCTGTATACGAAGGCCACAGTTGTCACGTCATTTGAGCGGTCAGCTTAGACAGGTTCCACTGCATGTCTGGGGTAACAACCTACCTGCTTCAAACACCGGAATAGCGGTGATTGCGAGCTATCTCCCTGCATGACATCCGCCACTTCGGTCTTGGCCAGCGACTTGGAGCTGCCCGGTTTACCGACCAGGAAGAGCGGGATGCGTGTGTCGATGCACACCACCATCATGAACACGTTCTCGCGCAGCGCCTTGTTCTTGGCGATGTTGGGACCAAGCTGTAGCTGATCCAGGAACACCTCCTGACACCTTTGCAGCAGTACAGAGCACAGGTAAACACACACACACACACACACACACACACACACACATGCAGGCGTGAGCACTGAACTTGCTAAGCTGGTGTGTCCAGGTAGGCATGCGCAAGGAATGCATTCTGCAACACACATAGATCTAGAAGGGATTGGGCAATATAAGCTGCATAGTGAAATGATGGCATAGGGTTCAAGGGCAGGCGGGCAGCCTGAGAGGCAGGCAGGCAGGGAGGCAGCAATAAGTACTGAAAGATGGACAGCATCCACGGCCAAGTGACCAACAACAAAACACACAATCCACAGCGCTTTACCTATCAATCTCCTCCTCAAGCTGTTGTCCCGCGCCAGTGAGGTCACACGGTGAAGAGAATGCACGTGCTACTGAGTCACGGAATGGTACTCGGTCTCGCAGCCTTGCTTGATAGCACACACCCAGTGATAGGACTAAGGAACGGGTGACACGTGTTAGTGGCTGCAGTATAGGAACATGAGATAGGTAGACAATGAGAGGGAGAGGCAGAGAGGCAGAGACGGAGACAGAGGCGGAGACGGAGGGAGAGGCGGAGGGAGAGGGAGAGGGAGACGGAGGGAGAGGGGGAAGCGGAGAGGCGGAGGGAGAGGGAGAGAGAGAGAGAGAGAGAGAGAGAGAGAGAGAGAGAGAGAGAGAGAGAGAGAGAGAGAGAGAGAGAGAGAGAGAGAGAGAGAGAGAGAGAGAGAGAGAGAGAGAGAGAGAGAGAGAGAGAGAGAGAGAGAGAGAGAGAGAGAGAGAGAGAGAGAGAGAGAGAGAGAGAGAGAGAGAGACAGAGACAGAGACAGAGAGAGAGACAGACAGACCGAGAGACAGAGAGAGAGACAGAGAGGAAAGAAGGGAGAGGAGAGATAAAGGAGAAAGGACAGAAAGAGGAGGAGAGAACACGTGTGCACCAACCTTAAAAAAAGAAAAGAATCCACAAATGTGTATTTTAAAAGGATAAGGGCACAAGACCTTCTAATGGCTTGGGATCATCGCACACTGCAACCTTGCTATCAACATACACAAAGCAACATACAGTCACAACGCATCGAAATCTTAACAGCACATCTCACCGGCGGTCGATTTAGATCTTCCTTTTCGCCCGTCTCTATGTTCACAGTACGATAGAGCTCGTCCTCTTTGCCACGCATCAGCTCGTCGAGCACCTCGCCGCAAAGCCAGTAGAACCACTTGAACACCATCATGGCACGCTCCACGTCGCGCAGGCTGACAAAGCTGCACTCGTCCCGCTGTTCGCGCATGAAGCGTTGCGCCGCTGCCAGCACAGCCGTGATGGGAGCGACCAGCGGGTGCTCGGCGGTCTGCCCCGTCTGGACACCGAAGCGGGCCTCGTCCCAGAAGTCCGGCTCGTTTTTGATGTAGCGGCGGACGATCTGTCGCACGTACAGCTGCTCGATGTCCGTGTTCAGCTGCCCAAAGTCCCAGACCAGCGGGGACATGCTGCCTGCAAAGTCACGGTGGGTATCACAGAAGATAAAAAACAGTCAAACACCGCCGTGTGGATAAACGGCGTGTGTGTGTGTGCTTGCGTGCTTGCGTGCGTGTGTGCATGCGTCCGTGCGTGTGCGGGGAGGGAGGGAGGGGGCAAGAAAGACCTTCAAACTGCAGAGCGCCAAAAGAAGAAAGACAGGAGAACAGTTTCAAGAACACAAGACAAAGAAAGAGTATACAAAGCAATACCCCTATACACATACCTGGCAACGGATGCACACGGTACACAAGCTGTCGCAGCGGAATACGGCCCAGTTTGTCCACGGTCTCCGTGGCACGGACGTGATAGCCGAGACCGGCCTCCTCCAGCCGCTGGATCATCTCCCGGGTGTGGCGGCGATACGGGTTACAGGCGGCGATGAACTGCAGACGTGACGCGGCGTTGATCGCCTGACCGTGGACGCGCCGATCGCACATGACCTCCTTGATCATGCCCAGTGCGTCGCTGGTGTTCGCCTCGTCGAAGAACAGGACCGTGTCGATCTGGTACTGTTCAGCGTTGTACTGCGCCAGCTCCTCGGCGTGTTCCACGGCCTTGCGTACGTGCTCCTCCGTCGTGCCGCCGTGGATCTTCATGATCAGCATGTTCTGCACGTCCAGGTTGTGTTGGAGCTTTGCGCCGCTCGCCTGCAGCTCGCACATGAAGCGGATGAGGCGCGTCTTGCCGCAGCCCGTCTCGCCCATCACTATGACTGGGATGTTGCAGCGGAAGCGCATCTGAATGGCCAGGATCTTCTTGACATTGTCCAGCGTCAGTTCGTAGGTCTCGTCCACTTCGTGGGCCACGTCCTGGCCGAATGCCCGGCAGCCGAGCACCTTGGCCAGGCACTGGAGCCGCTTCTCACGATCCCAGTTCTCAAAGTTCTCCTGCAGGTCCACGCGCTGAGCTCGTAGGCCGGCATGCAGTTGTCGTGACATGATGTCCTCCTCGAGCACCGTGCCCGCCTGGTCCACCAGGCTGCCGTTCTTCTCCACGTTGAAGCCGACGAACGTCATGCTGATGTGGTCGTCGTTGAAGAACAGGTACGGGTGAGGGCTCTGCTCCCAGCGACGGCGGATCACAGTCATGTCACCTTCGCCGCCGCCGCCAGCCTCTTCTTCCTCGGTGTCCTGCATGCCGGAGTCCACCTCCAGCGACGGAGTAGCAAAGTCGACGGACATGCGCAGCATGAAGCGCACGACAAACGCGCGGAATCCGTTAAGCTCGTCACCGACCGCCGCCGTGTTGCAGAAGACGCTGTGCTCGCAATCCGCTAGCTGCGCGTCAAGGAAGTGCACGAAGTGCCGCAGCACCAGCCAGGACGGGTCGAGCGTGCCGCAGTACTTGAGCAGCAGCTTGAGACAGGACAGGTGGTCGCTAGCACCCGTGTGCTGGCTAGCGATGAATGAGTAGCGGTCCAGCGAATGGCCCTGCTCGTGGTGACGCAGGTAGCCGAAGACACGCTGGAAGCGGCTCGAGGAGAACTCGCCGGCATCCAAGTGCGGCACCAGCTGCTGCCCCACGGCCGCGGGCTGGGTTTGTCGGCGCTGCATGAACAGCCCGGAGTTGAGCGCGTCCACAGGAGAGCCGCACAGGAAGGCGGGCAAGAGCGTGTACAGTGGCAGGCAGGCATTGTGCGGAATGGCCGCCAGGGGCACGTTCTCTATGTTGGCCATGAAGCCGGTGGCCTTGCAGAGCGCCGAGAACACCACCTCGTCGCACGTCACCTCCACCACGTACAGGTCGGTGGCTGAGCGACGCCACAAGCGACCCACGCGATCGCCAAGGCAACCGAGCACCAGCAGGTTGAAGAGGAACGTATCGAGGCCGGTGCGGATGGTTGGTGACACGTCCACGTGGAAGATGCAAGGCGCCGCCGCTTGCTGCTGCTGTGCGTCCGGGGCGAACTTCAACAGCAGGTCCATGACGGCAGAGACGTTGACGGCGTTGCCCTGCAAGGGGATGCTGTTTAGCAAGCATGGACGCTGAGGGGTCTGGTGCGATGGCGCCATAAACCGGTGCTGATGCTGAGCTAGCCCTGGACGATGAGCGCTCAAGCCGAGCTGGCTCTCCAGCTGCTCCTCCATGCGCTTGGCAAAGAGAGACTTGCCGACGCCGGCACGCTTCGAGGCGATCACGCGCACACACGACTTGTCCGTGTCCACGACAGCAGCCGGCTTGGCGTTTAACGCCGCCGAGAACGATGCCATGGGAGAGGCTGCCGCTGTGGCCGCCGAGGGAACCGCCATGCGACAGAACTGCGTCAGCAAGTAGCCGCGCAGGTTTACGTGGTCGCACGGCGGGGCTGTGGTGCGGTACTCCTCCAGCGCAGACATGATCCACGTGTGCTCCTCATTCTCGCGGCAGCAGATGATGGCGAGGGCGAACTGCGTGCACGATTCCTTCTTGGCAAAGTCCAGCAGCTGTCGCAGCTCCTCGACTGCCTCGGAGCTGACGGAGTAGTCCAACTGATCGGCGTTCACCAGGCAGAAGAGCTGCCGGGAGAAGATGGCACGTCGCCAGAGCAAGATGACTTCCTCGGTCGTGGTATTGGAGCTGCAGACGAGCACCTCGGAGGCAGTCGGCAGCGGGCGGGTGGTGTCGTGACGATAGAGGTCCAGAACGGTGCCGTACATGTCCGCCTGTGACACGACTATCATATTGGGCCTGCCCAGCGCAATGACGTTCTGCGGGATAGAGCGAGGCGCTGACGCCGGTCGCACCTGGCAGCTGAGGCTGTACAAGATGTGCCCAAGCTGCGACAACGTCAGGTAACGAGGTGCTGCTGATGAAGAGGAGGAACTGGACGTCAACGAACCACCGGCACCGGTAGGAGTGAATACGGAAGAGTTGGCATTCAGCGACCCACCCATGTCCATCGGTGTGCCCGCTTCATCACCAGCTGCACCGTCGCCCTCCGAATCACTCTTGAACGCCTCCTCCATCTTCTCCAGCTTGCGCTCGTTGCTGCCGTGCCTTGCGGCCCAGTTGGCTGCCTTGTCGACATCGTTACCTTGGCAACGAAGAGCGATTCTAGCTACGCGGTCGGTGAAGCCGCGGCGCTTCACCAGGGCCAACGGGGATCCGTCATCGTCACTGTCGTCCCCGTCGCCTTCGCTATCGCTGCTGTGCACCATCATGGACGGGCGCGACGCCATACCGGAAAGCATTGTCTTCGGCCTGGTTGTCGACGGCAACGTCGTCGTTCTGGTGCCCTGGAAGCACGGCGCAGTTTCGCGGATGCTCTGGATCGTCTTCGGCGAGGACAGGCCGCTGTTGACGGCGCGGCGGATGTCCTCGGCCATCACTCCGGGCTTGATGGCATCGAGCAAGGCGAACACTTGGTACTGTATGTGCGTGGGTGCTGCCGCTGTCCTCAGCATAGTCAGAGCCCGCAGCTCATGTCTGAGGGTGATGAGCTGACGCATGGTGAAGAAGTTCAACTGGTGGAACTGGTGGCGGCAGCGGCGCACTTCGCTTTGCCAGTCGCGCAGGTCGTTTTCAAGCGTATCTGCGTCCAGGACAAGGTCTGTGATCACGCGCTGGCAGGCGTTCTCATCGGAAACCTCACCGGCGCAGTCGTACTCCTTGTGCCAATTCAGATACTTGGTGCTGCCCATGGAACAGTGCTGAACTAGAACTTGACCCACACGGCAAACTCCCTCAAACACCTGTGAGAGATCAACGCAAACATGCACACACACACACACACACACACACACACACACACACACACACACACACACACATGCACGCACACATACATGGGAGCACGTGGACACACACACACACACACGCACACACATGCGCGTGCAACGCAGGATCTGGTTGGAAAAGGAACACGATATGCCACCACCTCAATCCACCAACAGCATCCTGACACCTCACATGCTGCAGGGCAGTGTGCGTATAAGCATGAACGTGCACTGCGCCTCCACATTGCACGATGCCGCTCGACGAACCGACCGATCGCACGACTTAAGCACACGTCGGGCGCTCCGCAGCCCCAGACCTATGAACACGGAGCTGACAGTGCCCAGGTGCAAGGCGTTAACTGGACTCGTGCGATCGGATCTCGTTGAGCAATGCCGTACGAACAAGACAGCACTGCTCACAAACATCATTTTCATACGGTACAGTACTGCCGGGCGCCAAAGAACGGAGTGCCGAAGAACGACCAGGCTAGAATTTCACCAAGAACTGTGCATAAACTGTAATACATATGAAAGTAAGAAGGGTCTAGGCTAGGAGGCTGACGCCCCAGTTCTTCGACGACCGGCAGTACGTTACACGTCCAAGAGTGGGGAATTGCATGCAGAACACTCCGACTCGCCTCCATGAAGTCACGGACAACGTTGGCGGATCCCTTCTTGTTGGCTGCGTTGGCAGCCACCAGAACCAGCTTGCTGTGCAGGTCCTTGATATTCTCCACCTGATACGTCTTGTTGTCGTGCACGGACTCCCTGCCCTCTTCGGGCGGAATGCGAAGTGTCACGCACGTTTCCAGCGTCGGAAGTTCTGAATGCACGCACATAACAAACAGCAGCAACAGCGGCAGAAATGCAGCAAATGTCTTTCATTGAACAATGAGAAGCATGAACCAGATGAATTGCAAGCTGATGCGATTGCCCCCGGGCAGAATGACATGATGGGAGAGAAGAAGGGAAAGAGCAGATGGACAATAGGTGGTACAGGCGTCCTTCTTTATTCCAGCCTTTAGTAAACTGGCACCCATAACAAACCACTTCATTTTCTCAATTTCAGAAACCAAAACTAATGTCCTCTTCATGCACATTGCAACAGTGAATCAGATTTGTTCATCCAGCACCCTCGCTAATCCAGGGTTTCCGCAGCACAAACAGTGCCGGATTAAAAACGGACCACTGTATTAGCCATACACGATGACTAGTTCTGGACCTGGGAGGGGGTAAGCGGGTGAGTTGGTAAGCGGGGGAGTGAGGGAGTGAGTGAGTGAGTGAGAGAGGGAGTGAGTGAGTGAGTGGGTGAGTGAGTGAGTGGGTGGGTGAGAGTGTGAGTGGTTGAGTGGGTGAGTGGTTGAGTGGGTGAGTGAGTGGGTGAGTGAGTCGCTCAGTCAGTGTGTATGTGAGTGAGTAGGTTAGTCAGACAGATATGAGAGAGAGAGAGAGAGAGAGAGAGAGAGAGAGAGAGAGAGAGAGAGAGAGAGAGAGAGAGAGAGAGAGAGAGAGAGAGAGAGAGAGAGAGAGAGAGAGAGAGAGAGAGAGAAAGAGAAAGAGAAAGAGAAAGAGAAAGAGAAAGAGAAAGAGAAAGAGAAAGAGAAAGAGAAAGAGAAAGAGAAAGAGAAAGAGAAAGAGAGAGAGAGAGAGAGAGAGAGAGAGAGAGAGAGAGAGAGAGAGAGAGAGAGAGAGAGAGAGAGAGAGAGAGAGAGAGAGAGAGAGAGAGAGAGAGAGAGAGAGAGAGAGAGAGAGAGAGAGAGAGAGAGAGAGGGAGGGAGGGAGGGAGGGAGGGAGGGAGGGAGGGAGGGAGGGAGGGAGGAGGGAGGGAGGGAGAGAGAGAGAGAGAGAGAGAGAGAGAGAGAGAGAGAGAGAGAGAGAGAGTATGTGTAAGGTTCTAGCATGTAGTTTGGTGCACGTTCGAGCATTACTGCACAAGAATGGAGCACAACGACGCCCATAAAAACAGTCCCACTCCTAGAACACCGAGCTGCTGAGCACTTTACCTCCTGTCCGAAAAGCGGGCACCCGAATGGTGTAGATACCGCGGCTGTTAATGGCATCAGCCTGACCTGGACGGATTCGTGGCTCTGGCGCACACTCTTCAGCCACTCCAAGTTTCGCTGAGTGTCCAGCTGGAGAGCAAAGAGGGCAACACCTGTATGTACACACGGTATGAACACACTGACACACTGTATATACACACTGCATGGACACACTGTGTATGGGACACACTGTAGGACACAGTGTGTTCACACATAGGTGTTCACACACACTCTGTTCACACACACTGTGTGTGAACAGAGTGTGTGTGAACACACTATGTGTACATCATGTAGTATATACACACTGTATGGACACACTGTATGGACACACTGTATGGACACACGGTATGGACACACTGTATGGACACACTGTATGGACACACTGTGCACTGTACGCTAGACACACTGTATGGACACACTGTATGTCTTATGACACACTGTATGGACACACTGTATGGACACACTGTATGGACACACTGTATGGACACACTGTATGGACACACTGTATGGGACACACTGTATGGACACACTGTATGGTATGGACACACTGACACACTGTACGGACACACTGTACGGACACACTGTACGGACACACTGTACGGACACACTGTACGGACACACTGTACGGACACACTGTACGGACACACTGTACGGACACACTGTACGGACACACTGTACGGACACACTGTACGGACACACTGTACGGACACACTGTACGGACACACTGTACGGACACACTGTACGGACACACTGTACGGACACACTGTACGGACACACTGTACGGACACACTGTACGGACACACTGTACGGACACACTGTACGGACACACTGTACGGACACACTGTACGGACACACTGTACGGACACACTGTACGGACACACTGTACGGACACACTGTACGGACACACTGTACGGACACACTGTACGGACACACTGTACGGACACACTGTACGGACACACTGTACGGACACACTGTACGGACACACTGTACGGACACACTGTACGGACACACTGTACGGACACACTGTACGGACACACTGTACGGACACACTGTACGGACACACTGTACGGACACACTGTACGGACACACTGTACGGACACACTGTACGGACACACTGTACGGACACACTGTACGGACACACTGTACGGACACACTGTACGGACACACTGTACGGACACACTGTACGGACACACTGTACGGACACACTGTACGGACACACTGTACGGACACACTGTACGGACACACTGTACGGACACACTGTACGGACACACTGTACGGACACACTGTACGGACACACTGTACGGACACACTGTACGGACACACTGTACGGACACACTGTACGGACACACTGTACGGACACACTGTACGGACACACTGTACGGACACACTGTACGGACACACTGTACGGACACACTGTACGGACACACTGTACGGACACACTGTACGGACACACTGTACGGACACACTGTACGGACACACTGTACGGACACACTGTACGGACACACTGTACGGACACACTGTACGGACACACTGTATGGACACACTGTATGGACACACTGTATGGACACACTGTATGGACACACTGTATGGACACACTGTATGGACACACTGTATGGACACACTGTATGGACACACTGTATGGACACACTGTATGGACACACTGTATGGACACACTGTATGGACACACTGTATGGACACACTGTATGGACACACTGTATGGACACACTGTATGGACACACTGTATGGACACACTGTATGGACACACTGTATGGACACACTGCATGGACACACTGCATGGACACACTGCATGGACACACTGTATGGACACACTGTATGGACACACTGTATGGACACACTGTATGGACACACTGTATGGACACACTGTATGGACACACTGTATGGACACACTGTATGGACACACTGTATGGACACACTGTATGGACACACTGTATGGACACACTGTATGGACACACTGTATGGACACACTGTATGGACACACTGTATGGACACACTGTATGGACACACTGTATGGACACACTGTATGGACACACTGTATGGACACACTGTATGGACACACTGTATGGACACACTGTATGGACACACTGTATGGACACACTGTATGGACACACTGTATGGATACACTGTATGGACACACTGTATGGACACACTGTGCAGGGCATAGCTTAAGGATTTCATTTAGCTCGGACAAATGTCCTTCCGTTTTGAAATCTGTCCGGACATGCCCGGACATTTTCCACAACACATTTTCAGGGTGTTTCTTCTTTTTTTAGTAGTACTGAAGTATATTCACAATGACTCATTATGTGGACGTATCTCACACATTACTATGTACAATTCGCCAATATATTTGTATTAGAAACTGAACTATTTACTGACGACAAATGTATGTACAAGAAAGCGTTGCAGTGAAGAATTTTGCGAACGCGATATGCTCCTTGCAGAGAAGGTAAGTCAGTTCGAATTCGCGTCGTGCAATAGCGGCAGCACCGTCGTCCATCCTGCACAGTGCCTTCGCAATTGGAGCGAATTCGGGGGCATTTCGAGCGGGACACTCTTGCCTGCAGAAAAGATTCATTGCTCGTTTATGCATCTCCGTTCCAGCATGATCCTTGAACGCTGATGTTCTCAGGTTCTTGGATCCGGTTATGAAAGCCTCGCTGAAGTTTTTACAACTGCGGACTCTGTCTACAAACTTGATGCACACGGAACACTTCAAACATTCTGCTAACAGCCGATCGTTCTTCTGCCGGTCATAAATCAGCCAGGCGGAAGTAGTCAGCTCTGCATCATTGTCCGAGATCCACTTATCGCAAGAAGCGGCCTTCACACCACAGACTTTTTTGCCCAGCGGCAAGTCCTCTGAATCTCCCTTTCGCTTTCCACAAGACATTCTAAAAGACTATCTGCATTCCTGGTCAGTGAAAGAGTGAAAAATAAAAGATGACATCTTCCTCTCAAGAGCGAACAACTGCACTGCAGTTCAACCCATCGATTCAAGTGCGAAGTCGACACCATGTACCACAGGTCGAAAGTGTGAATTGACTGTAGCAACCGCGCCGCGCGCGTTGCTACAGGCGGATCAAGTAAATCTGGTGAAGTCTACGCCTGAGGCTACGGGGTAGACGTGTTAGTTGTACGATATGCAAGTCGCATTTGGCACTAAGCTCCGAAGAAAGCCCAACTCTGCATAAAACGGTCGAAAGGTTGCTGCTCTTTTTTTCCTTTTTTGACCGGACACTATGTCCGGTGAAATTGAAAACGTCCGGTCAGTGGCCGAAAATGGCCGGAAAATGTCCGATGTCCGGCTGTTAATCTATGCCCTGCTGTGTGGACACACTGACACACTGACACACTGTATGGACACACTGTACGGACACACTGTGTATGGACACACTGTGTGGACACACTGTATGGACACACTGACACACTGTATGGACACACTGTATGGACACACTGTATGGACACACTGTGTGGACACACTGACACACTGTATGGACACACTGTATGGACACACTGTGTGGACACACTGTATGGACACACTGTGTGGACACACTGACACACTGTGTATACACCAAGCGGAACAGTGAAGCATTGTCAATCCTGTAGAACAGAGGCGACTACCACAGGACATCATCAGGCCTGCGCAAAGGAACAACCGTGAACAGAAAAGTGTACAGGGCACCTAGACGTGACTACAGTATTGTCGGCCGCCGAAGAACAGAGCGACAAAGAACGGAGTGCCAAAGAACGGAGTGCCAAAGAACGGAGTGCCAAAGAACGGAGTGCCAAAGAACGGAGTGCCAGAGAACAGCCAGGCTAGAATTTTACCAAGCACAGCATACCAATGTATACACGGTGACTGAACTGTGCATAGACTGCAATACAGGAAAATCAGAAAGGTCTAGGTTAGGAGGCTGACACCCCAGTTCTTCGACGACCGACATTATTGTAGGCTTAGTAAGGGTCACCTACCAGTTATCTGGGCAGATTCTAACATAACTGTAGGCTTAACAAGGGTCACCTACCAGTTTTCTGGGCAGATTCTCGTCACCTTCCAGTGCCCGGAATGTGGGCAGGCAAGCCTCCATGAACTCTCTGAAGCCAGTTTCGCCGGGCTGAAGGTAGATAAGACCGGCGTAGCCCATGCACGCCGTGTGCAGGCAAGAGATGCGGTCCACGTCCATTGCGCCGCCCTCGCTCGTGGCGATGGTTGCCAAGTCAACGAACGTCTTCAGTTCCTTCAGCTCTGCAGGCAAACGACGAACCGGTTTTCACATTACATCGAGTTGAACGTTGCAGAACAAACCACGGGGTGGCCAGATCCAGCAAAATGAATTGCAAGTGCGCCCCTCTTCCCGCCAGGAACAGGGAGAGTCGAGTGAAGTGCCGTGTGCACGGCGTTTAATGTTGATGAGGGTGCTCATACAAAGGCTAAGTGCCAGTACATTAGCAATTTTCGACTTAAAAAAAACACATCGTATTTTCTGGAGTATTTGAATATCCGCACTTTAAATTCAACACCAGTGATTTGCCCTAACATACTCGGTGTGGTTTATACATGTACTACGATGGTCAAGTTAACCGTGATAAATAGGATAGATGTGATTGTCTGTATTTCGTGACTAAAATCTGGATGCAGCGTATACTCCGGAAAATACGGCAAGCAACGCAGACCTACTGACCTTTCACCTCCTTGCGAAGCCACTCCACCAGCGTACTGCACTTGGAAAAGTGATCGAGGCACACCATTTGCAAGTCCTTCAGCTTCAGCAAAAACTCGCTGGCTTGCAGCACATCATCTGTTAGAGCGTCAAGGGGACTGTTCTTGAACTCCTCCGATGTCTGGACACACACAAAAAAACACAGCCAGTAAGCTATGGTGAAGTCATCATCCCAGCAGCGACCGCTAAACATTCTCTTCAGACTTAAAAACTCACGCTTCCTGTCAATCCACACAGGCGGGTGGGACGCAGCCCTCACTGTAACCCACACACTTCACGTACAAACTAGCACGCGGGGAGCCCCCAAGTCATAACATATTTACTGGTTTGAGGGAAGGACACAAGCGGGAAAAGTCTGAAGAAAAACTTGACTGTCACCACCAGGACTCGAACCGGGGACCCTCGCTTGTAGCCAGCGACGCTCTAACCACCGAGCTATGGTGTAGTCGTCATCCCGGCAGAAACCACTCAACATTTTCTTCAGACTTCAAACTCACGTTTCCTGTGAATGCACACAAGCTGGTGGGACGCAGCGCTCACTGTAACTCACACACTATCTAAAGTTTCCTGCTCAATTTTCATGACACGCTCGTCAGGGAAAGCAGTCTTAACAGTAGAAGCTAGGCAGGGGGAACAACCTTACACACCTAGAAATAAGATGCATGCACATATTATTTCGTTGCAGAGCCACCTGACAACTACTTCACGATGGTGAGTGTGAGAAAGGACGAGATAGTATGTGTGAACAGTAAAATCTGTCAAGGGAGACACCCTGATATGGATAAACAGACAGACGAATATATGGGCACTAGCAGAGACATACAGACACGCAGATGGACAGCCATGCAGATGGACAGCAATGCAGATGGACAGCCATGCAGACGGACAGCCATGCAGATGGACAGCCATGCAGATGGACAGCCATGCAGATGGACAGCCATGCAGACGGACAGCCATGCAGATGGACAGCCATGCAGATGGACAGCCATGCAGATGGACAGCCATGCAGATGGACATGCAGATGGACAGACATGCAGATGGACAGACATGCAGATGGACAGACATGCAGATGGACAGCCATGCAGATGGACATGCAGATGGACAGACATGCAGATGGACAGACATGCAGATGGACAGACGTGTGGATGGACAGACGTGTGGATGGACATACATGCAGATGGACAGACGTGTGGATAAACGGACACGCAGGCCGTTAAGCCACACATGTTGAGTTGAAAACATGCACAAGAAACAGGCACCGTCCGAAGCACACCCCTACTCACCTGGTCCCGGATGAAGAGCATAAGAGAAAAGTCACCAGTCAGCTTGAGATTCTCACAGATAGCCAGAATGCTGCTGGCAGCCTTGCTCACACGCAACAGCTCGAAGTAGTGTGCAATCTTGGTCGCTCGCTGCGCTATCCAGCTGGGGAAACAAGGAACGAAAAGGTGATCTTGTCCCCTAGTGCCTACGAGCAAATGGCAGTGTACTTGTGTCCCCAATTCACTACGTTTACTCGTACATAGTGCATGTGTATTGCTCTATGTCTCACATTTCCGCATCCAGTCACACTGTGCACGCACAAGTTGTGCACAGTGAGTGCGTTCGATTATGCCCGCGAATCGATTCATGAATCCATTCATGAATGAATTCGCGCTATTCACATCACCAATTCACATCACCAGATGTGAATAGGGTGAATGGATTCCGAACCGATTCCAGGGCTCATGGCATGAAAATCGAACGACTTGAATGCATGCGAATGGATTCATGAATCGATTCAAGTGCATCATCGAACGCAGCCAGTATGGTACGTTCTAACTGGAGACAGTCGGTACGCAGTAATCACAGGTGCTTCACGTATTACTGTGACACGACTTGTGTGCGTGCACAACAATACAGTGTCCAAAGAGCTCTCTGAGGCTCCTCCAATTTACCTCGAATTTATATTTGTTACATATACACACGGTTGTCTAAGGTTCTCAGGCTGCGTACAGTGCTATATGTCCAGTGGACAGAGCCAGCAATACAAAGATTACACAGCAATGAAGCAGCCAAATCTCTTTCCGCTGTTACTCGGAGTTTCGTGTTTTCACACGAAACTCCGAGTAACAGCGGAAAGAGATTTGTTCGCTTCATTGCTGTGTCATCTTTGTATTACATATACATGTAATCAGGCACAGCACGTCGCCAAGCATCAAGCAGAAATGTGTGTGAAAGCGTCGGGTGACAGAGAGCACAGTAAGTAATGGCCTACCGTTGGTTGCTGCATATGTCCACCGACGCCAGGCCCGCTTTCAGACAGGACTCGGCCATGCACTGCAGCGCTGCTGCCGCGTCGCCCGTCCTGAAGCAGCGCTCCACGACACGCAGGCGAATCGTGCTGGCGTGCGTCTCGCAGAAGATCGACGACCACTGCTGAATGACCGGCTTGTACAGCTAGTCAGGCACAGGCAAAGAAAATGGGGCGATAATCATAAATATTCATGAATGATCATGGGTATTCATGGCTATAATTATCATGAATCGCTTTTTTCTACAAACTGAATTTGCATGAAATGCAGTGGAACTCGATAAGTACGTAATCTGATGATCAGTGATAAGACATAATTATTATCTCTTCCTTGCTACGGACATAGTCCAGAGCACTGTCGTACTTGTTGTAGTAGTACTGTAGTCTGCACTGTGCACACATACCGCACGCACCAGCCCTCATTATGCAAGCACACACACACATACACACCTTTTTATGTCCTTTTTATACACTGCTGTGGATGGGAAATAAAGGGGTTCTTCTTGACAAGACAACATGGTGACACAACAGTACTGATCCGTACTGAAGGGCGTTGGCATGAAAAAGTCCCTGCTGCCCATGTAGAAAGCAGTGACTGTGGCCTACCTAGATACATTTGGGTGAACTCACCCATTCCACTAGGGGTGAACGTTGGCACTGAGATCCCGAGTTCTAGTACTCTATTTTCTCCGATCGAACATTCGAGTATTCGAGTATTCTTGATATCCTAAAAATCGCACACCAACCGCCTCAAAAACACACGATACAACCCTGATTGAACCGATTCAGTGGCAGTTCTTTTCTTGGGTGTATTGGTTGGTGGGTCATTTGGGCTCTCTCTACTCGTGAACAAATGTTCACCACACAGTCTGCACATCAATATCTGCTGACTGCTGCTCTGAAACTGCAGACTTCTGTGGTAAATGTATGTACCATGTAGGAGCGAGTACTCTGACTTATTCCGAGTACGATTATATTCGAAAAATCCAAACGAGCATTTGAATATTCGGTATAATTGTTTTACCCCCACATTCCACAATACTCTGCAAATTTCCGAACCATTCCATTATATGAGTCAGGGGCTACAGAAACCCCCCTATGGCACTTTTCGGCGAAAATTTTTTTCTCTCAAAATGTTGGTATGGTATGGTAATGTGCTCAAACAAAATTTCAACTTGATCTGCGATGGTAAAATGTGCCTAACCACCTATTTAATAATGGCATGTCCATTGAGCGATATAGAGCAAATTTATGTACACAGTTTGTAATGTACGACTTTGTATATCTTCATTCTTGCTAGTTAGGCAGTTCAAATGTATAGTGAACTATACCCTCAGCTTCATCCAGTGACGCCTGCGCGCCGTCCACAAATCTCCGTAGTACTGCCACTCCTCTTGTGCAAGTGATATGTGCGAACGCAGGGCCTGGACACTACATTCTGTCTCTTCCTCTGTATGGGCGACATGAATTTCGTCCCACAGCTTGTCACACAGTGCGCATACGTCTGTCCTTGGCTTCATCACTTTGATGTGTGCTGCCTGTCTCCTCCAAATGTGGCAAAATGACCTGTAATGAACAGGCGAATACAAACTGCTGGAAGCGCTTTTTCGATTTTCGCAGTTTAGAGACTTCAAACATGTAGTCCTCGAGCTGCTGCTCTGGGATGACTTTCAATGATTCTACGACTTGCATCCACAGCCTCTCAATCCCATCGCGTATGTCTGAAGACAGGAGACCACGCTTCACCTGCCCCGTCGCCGGTGGCTCAGGTGCGGGGGCATCTGGTTCGTCATCCGATTCCGAGTAGTCGGTGTCACTCTCCGCGTTTGAAATTTCCGAGCTGTCGGGGCTTGGCGTTTTCGACACAACACTAGCAGCACTCGAGCTTGCTGTGACTCCATACGTCTTCTTCTTAGGTGGCATATCATCGCCGTTGCTGTCAGCATTGGTGTCGGAATCGCTCGCGAACGTCTCGCGGGTGCCAGCGCTGAATCCGTAAAAATTCTTGTCGTCCGATTCAAGCGCCTTCGCATCAGGGACTCCACACAAAATCGAGCTGCGTCGTCTACTAGATGTTGTAGCCATAATCAATCACAGTTACTGAGTAAATGGAGCCTCTTGAGTTACTCGACAATCGCTCGGAATCCACCGAACACCTAACAAGAGGACAGCTCTTGAGTCTTGTCAAAACAAAACTTCAAAAGTGACGAGTTCTGCGCTTCCCGTAACTTTGAGTCACGTGACTTTGAAATGTCATAACTTGATTTTGATATCAAACGTCGTAGGTCGGTTTCTATAGTCCCTGGCTCATATATAACGTTTCGGCCAATGGCCTTCTTCAGGTAGTCAATGATTGACTACCTGAAGAAGGCCATTGGCCGAAACGTTGTATATAACGGAATGGTTCGGAAATTTGCAGAGTATTTCGGAATGGGTGGGTTCACCCAATTGTATCTACTATGAAACTGCAGGAAGCCTCCCAACTTCTTCTCATGTGGCCTACCTGATGGACAATCTGGTCTAACGTGAGGCACAGCCGTGGCCTGGTGGTGAGCGAGTCAGCCTCGCGTGCTCGCTCTCGCAGCACCTTGCACTGGTCCACGCACAGCTGCACAAAGAGCGGGTGCTTGTAGGCGATGACAAGCGGCGGCAGCATTTCGCCAACGTCGGCGCTGTAGTTGAACAGACGCTGCAGGTCGCACACCAGACGCTTGACGATCGTCGACCGCACAGCGACTTTCAGGTCGTTTCCATCCTTCACGTCTGCAAACATGCACACATGTACGCACGCACACACGCACACATGTACACACACATGCACGCGCGCGCATGCGCACACACGCACACACACATACACAAACAATATATTTTAGGCATATCACCAAAGCAGCTGGGAAATTTTTCATCAGCGCTTTAAATTTAGGCGCTTTACAGCCATGCCGAATACAAGCAAAACGAATATTTGCATATTTACACAGCTCACCCACTATAGAATGGTTCTGTTGGAAACAAGCGGGACAAACTTAACCGTATCCGCCTGTCTGCCCAAAGTATGCATGCACACGGTACTGCGATAGGCCTTCCCAATGTTGGGATGAGTTTTTAGAGTCAAACCCCAGTTGGAGAGTTGGGGGGAAGTCTGCATGGTACTCTCGTGTAGCCTACCATATTTTTCGAAAAGAAAAGAAAAACACAACACAGCACTAACACACTCGTACTCTTGCCTTGGTTAGGCCATCATCACACTGCGTTCTCCGACTCCCGTTTACGTCTACGTCTATGGTGAAAAAACCAAAACGGGTGGTCGTGTCATCAGACAGGCACAGTTCTTGACGCGTACACGCAGTCAGGTTTTTGGAGAAATTTGAACCCACGTACAGGGTCGCTCGGAAAAAGGCTGGGGGAGATGCGCACGTTCATACAAAAAGTCGTATACCCCCCTCTCCATACCACGTCTACGTCTCCCGTTTCCTCTGCTCCCATTTTCACCCCGTATACGGATCATCATGAAAACCGACCAAAAACTCCTTACGTGGACGTAGACGCAGCGCTTTGTACCATGGTGTGATGACAGCCTAAACTGTGCCCATATTGTGTTGCATTGTAAAAAAATAATAATAATAATGGACTCAGATGGAGAGCCAAGGTTTAATTAATACAAAGAGAAAGACCAAGGAACTACAAGTTACGCCATACTGTCCACTAACACCACCAGTTACTAAACAATCAGCTCATGCGATAACATTGCACGCATCCAAGATGTGCTAGAGCTGTTAGCCAGTTAGTTGTAGAACGTCAGTACCGTCGGTCAGTGTCGTGCAATGTTATCGCACGAGCTGATTGTTTAGTAACTGGTGGTGTTAGTGGACAGTATAGCGTAACTTGTAGTTCCTTGGTCTTTCCCTTTGTATTAATAATAATAATTAACTCGAATGGTGAGCCAATTAAATTATGGTGAAAAAGGAGGACAAAATGTTACGAGTTATGACTAACTGTTCACCAACGTAACCAGATCTTACACAGTCAGCCAGTGCGACAAAATGTTGGAGCTAGGTGTCAGGTCGCCGAATGTCTCACCGAATGTCTCAGTACTCCTTTGTCAGTTTTGTGCCATTTTGTCGCACTCGCTGACTGTGAGACCTGGTTACGTTGGTGGACAGTTAGTCATAACTTGTAACATTTTGTTCTCCTTTTTCACCATAATAAAAATTATAAAAAAATTAACTGTGCCCACGACCTACACACCACTAACGCACAGAAGACGTTGTAACAGTCAAGCTGACAATAGAGACTTACCAATGTCTACGTCGTTGCGGGTACAGAGCGAGAACAGCACCTCGAGGTGGTGGCGCTTGGCCTCGATCACCTCGATCTGCTTCACAGAGTCCCGCAGCTGAGCGGCAACCTGCTGGGCGTGATGAGCCAGCTGCGACTTGGCGTCCTCCTTGCGATACGCACTGTCGATCTCCTCGCAGATACTGATCAGCTGCTTCTGGTGCTCATTGGCCAGACGCACGTGCTCGACGGAGATGCCGCCGGTGTTGAAGCGCTCAAGAAGTGTCTCCAGCGCGCTCATGCCCCGCTGCAGGACGATGCGCGCTTCGTCCTGCAGCATGGCGATCGGGTTGGGGCCCTGGCCACGGCTGGTTGGCCGCCCTGGCACAGCACAGTACAACACAGCACACAGGAGAAGAACAGGAGAAAAGCCCAAGAGGCAGCGGTAGAACTCGCGTTACGGGTGGGCACTGCCTCGCACACATGGTCGAATAAACATTTACAGTCTACGCCAAGGCATACAGCACAATCTGCTTTGAGCGACCTCTGGTATTAGCGACCACCTGATCTTAACAACCGCTTTTCCATGCACCGGTTGATCTGCACCGGAAACAGCGACCACCGACGTTGCGCGACCAGTGACCGACTTTTAGTGTACCAAGTGGTCATTATCTGACCTGCATACAGCGGCCACAAGTGCTGTCCTGGCAGGCTCGACTGCAACAGGGTTGTAGAGCGCTCAGAAGCGAGTGCATGCAGTCAACGGAAGTGACAAGTGACAGTACAGGGTGTGCTGAATGCACTTCAGTGTGGTGTGAAACTCATGGGTGCAGCTTCGTCTGCATGAAAGTGTTCTGTATCCAACACCTGTCAATATGAGTACATGGAAGTGTGCGCACGATCCGATACGCCGCGAATGTATAGGACCTTGTTCTAAAGACCACCCGGCTTCAACGACCGATTTTGCTTGCACCGTGGGAAGGGGGGTGGGGTGGGGGGGGGGGGGGGTGGTCGCTTAAACCAGGCTTTCCTGTGCTGTAAAGTACCATTGATCCGAATGTTGGATGGCCTCTTAGATTCAACTGTTCAAACAGTGGGCCTACATAGAGTCTCTGCTAAGATTGCATATCTACAGCACTATTAGTTGGAAGTGATAGAGTGCTGTTGGCGGCAGTTAGCATGTTATTCGTTAAAATAAAAAAGGCGCATGCAGCCGTCCAATCCACCGTGGACACGTTCGCACGTTTGCACGCACAAACACACACACACACACACACACACACACACACGCACACACACACACACACACATACACACATACACACACATACATACACACACACATACACACGCACAGATACACTAGTGAGGCGGTGTGGGCTCCACTCACAGAAGTTGCGAATGTACGATGGCCAGCAGTTCCAGGTGAGGACATTCTCCAGCATGGCGTACTCCGGGTCGGCCCTGCTAGTGTTCACCTTCTTGCTGACGTAGTCACACAGCAGGCGACTCAGCAGACTCATGCCATGACGCTGGCTATGCAATTTCTCGAACTCGGCACGACCGGCCTCGCCAGACTAGAGAAGCGGAGAACGGAAATAGACCGACGGCTCATTATGTCAGACAAGGATTTATAGACCCCGCCATTTTTTCTCTAACCATACCCATTATCCCATGCCCGACTCACTTGATTAGTAATCTTCCCTACGAAAACACTGCATATCGATGGTCGACGAGAGTTATATCTTTTGTACTCTTGCCAATTCTATGGTGAAAGACTGAAAGTAAGTTGGAAAACTTGAAAAGTAGTAATACAGTGAAACCTGGTTAGGAAGAACACTGATAAGACAAATGTTTGCTTAAGAAGAACTAGTATTCGTAACTGTATTGGATAAATCACTGTGTATTCACTGGGTATAAAATATAGATAAGAAAAACTCCCGTTACTGCGAACAAATATCATCGGTCCCTTGATGTTCGTCCTAAAGAGGTTTGACTGTAATTATAATTTCTGCACATCCTGAGGTTACTGCAATTTCTACCCAGGGGCTTCCCCGAGATTGACGAGACACACATCACCCGAGCTTTTGCATGCTGCATCCTCTCCCAGGTCTACACAACTCCCTGGTCTACATGTAACAAGACAATAACACTTCTTCTGCAAAAGTTGTTTTCGCCTCCAAAGAGATTTGAGAGGCCTTTACACCGGCTTTGCCGTGGCAAATAAGGCACACACGCGCGTGCACGCCCACACACACACACACACACACACACACACACATGCCCACGCACGCACGCACACATGCCCGCGCACGTACACATGCGCACGCCCACGCACACTCGCATGCCCATGCACGCACGCCAACGCACGCAAGCACGCACACACACACACACACTTGCTGCTCACTGCCAAAACTGGTCAAGTGGGTCTCCCCGGGAGAGGGGAGAGAGACTCAAAAGGAATCTTGGAAAGATGACTCAATTGGCTATTGAACCGCCCAACGACCGACACCCCCTGAAATCCCCAAAACTCTGGGTTGACTTGAAAATGATCCCACTTATGGGCTCACCACACTTCAGTAAGTGGGTGAGGACAAGGTGCAGAAAAAGGATTGACGGCATCAAGGTATCCGTCCTGGGATCCAACTGCAGTTACCCATGCCACTAGAGAAGGTAATGCTTGGTACTAGTGTGGGTGGCTAAATCAGAGTGGATCTGATATAAGCTTCACTAGCACCATTGATTACACAAGAGTTAATCTAGCCAGAAGCAGTCCATGGTTAACAGGTATGTATACTTCAAATAGAAAGTATATGAACCCTGGAACCAACAAAGGTGGCAGGTACAACATTACACCTTCAAGCAGCCGAGCCCGTTGGCAACAGACCCAACACAATCAGGCATAAGTGTACCCACCAACCGAACTAGCTGGCACACACACACACACACAAGCACACACACACGTCACAAGCAAATACCTTGATGAGAGTGTCGAGAGAGTTGGTGATCGCCCTGGACAGGGTGGCGGAAATGACAACGTGGAAATCTTCAAGCTTCACGCTGCAAAGACGCTCGAGGCAAGGTTTCGGACGCATCTGGTCAGTCACCAAACACAGGCAGAGAGACAGACGGATGCACGAACAGACACGCGTCCAGTCAGACACAGAGTCACACCAGGACGTTACAGGGGCACAGCTGGTTCACCTTTTAGGGGGGGGGGGGAGGAGGGGAGGGAGGGTGCACGACCGCGTATGTGTAGTATGGCTGGTGCATGTCATTCATGGTCATTATCTGCATGCTGAACCTAGGTCGATATTTTCAGGGGGGAGGGGGGGAGGGGGGGGAGGGGGGGGGAGGGGGGGAGGGGGGGAGGGGGTGCACATGCCCCATGCAGGCTACCCGCCTGCTACATACCAGTACACAGTTGTGACACGTGAAATCTGAACCAAAGCACTTGTGCAGCAGCAGCACAAACGACATCCCAACCGGGACAAAGCAGGATGCCCTAGCTTGAGGCATGGGTGCAAGTACCCCAGGGCAGAACGCAGAACACAGTACACCACGGACATGGGCTGTGCACCCTCCCCCCCCCCCCCCCACACACACACCTCCACAACCGAAATTGACATGCGGTTGGATTTGAGCTGTGCACCCTCCCCCCCCCCCCCCCCCCCCCACACACACACCTCCACAACCGAAATTGACATGCGATTTGAGCTGTGCACCCTCTCTCCCCCCCCCCCCACATACACATTCTCCATAGCTGAAATTGACATGCGGTTGGACTTGAGCTGTGCACCCTCTCACTGCACTTGACCGACTTGATTTAAATCCTCCCCCTCCGCTGAAAACCCAGCTGGGAAGCAACACGGCATTGAGGGGGGGGGGGGGGGGGGGTTCAACGGTACTTTACGGTAGTGAAGATGAGTTTCTCCATCTCTACAATAGTGTTTGAACGCTGGAGTACAACACTTTAAAGATAGCTGCAGTAGAGAACCACATGTAGTACCAATTTAAGACGATCCTTGAGTCGGTCAACGATCCTGTCGGTCCAGATTCCTGCAAGTCCAATCTTCTCAAGACCGTCAATGGCCGCAAGTCTGCTCCAGAACTGGAAAGGGCAAGAAATTCACACAAGGGAACACTGTAAGCAAACTGAAGAACCGTGTGCCCAGACTGTGTCCTTATGACCACCTGCCTTTGGCAACTAATTTTCCATGAATGGACTGTACTGTACTGTGTAGGTTTTAAAAACAGTGGGATATTCGAATTACAGGCACTTTATAGACCAGGCATCCAGGCATATCTGTCCTGTATGGGGAGGGGTCCTAATTAGTAATTACGGACACCCTTGAGACCAGGCATATAATCCTCTGTGTGTGTGGGGGGGGGGGGGGGGGGTGAGCGAATGTGTCCTACATGTGTCCTGTGTCCTGTATTCGCCAGATGTCTGCAGGGGAGGCTTTACCATCAGCACCGCACTAGAACAGTCAGGCTAAGGACAAATCCACTTCCTGAACTAAGGGCGCGTTCTAAAATCCTCTCGGAAAGGGAAAGGTCAAGACTCTCGCAAGAGTTGGAGAAGTGTTCTTATATCCTCTCTGAATTTTCGGAGACTCTCCTAAGCTCTACAAGCTCTCCGAACGTCAGAGGTGGTTGAAACTTGGAGATTCCCCGCGTCTTGGGGTCAGCACAATGGCACTACAAACTGCTGCAAACATGTCTCAACTCTGTGACTCATTGGCGTGGATGCAGCTGTGGATTCAACATGGAGCAGATAGTCCCAACAACCAACTCCACGGCGTGCGGTCATCTTGCCGGTTATGTGTATGAACAGCAAAAAAATGAAACAAAATCCGCAAGACCAGACCATCTGGTAAAAGGAGAGCAATCGCTCTCGCGCGCCTTCGCTCTCCTTATTTTCATTTAGGGCGCACTTTTCGTCGCGCGCCTTGAGAATTTCGAGCGCATCCGAATCACTATGAAACGATGCATTCTGCAAACACTCAAATATTCCGTTACTCGGCTTTCCCTGAACGGAATTGAGTGATCGAAAGGTCTATTCGCATTAGAAAGTTCCCAGCTGTCGTATCCAACAAATCCGAAGTCGATCCGAGGTCGACTAGTGGAGTTACGGCACTCGCAAGGTATTTAACGTCTTGTTGCAAATTTTCACTTCCGCACTTGGGTGGCAATCATAATTTTGGCATAAAGGATTTCCCTGTTGCGTGACAGTCCGGGCATGCATAGACCTGTGACTGTGTGACATCAGGCACAGGTCTTAAGCAGTCAGCTACAAAAGAAAGGAGCGCTCTACAATGAATACTACAAAAAAGTTCCGTGGATCTTAGCGAATTGTCTCAATTTTCCGTTGCGCGGGTCTTCCCAGCTCCCTAGGCTAGGCTATAGTGCCACTGCAGTAGCACTCCATCTGGTGAAAAATCCCACTGGCGTGTTCCTCTTGCCCATAGCTTTCCAGAATGCTTATTCATTGTTAAAGTTGATGAAGGGAAACTAAAGTTGTGGTCCGAACAGCTTCCATTTGTAGTGCGTACGGCGATTTTCCAGAACGAATTTGGCAGCTATTGGGTATTAAATTCGATTGGGGTATGGCAAGATGTTGAAAAAACCTGTATTGTGCTCGCCTTGGATAAATAAGGCGAGCGATTTGGGGGGGGGGGGCTGCTCTCCCACCACTCTCCTTCAGAGGGTAGCGAGAGTGATTCTTCACTCTCCTGGATTTTTCTTACACCAAGGTCTGCAAGACCAAAGTATAAACTGATCGAAGAAAGTAGATCTTGCCCTTACCGAGACCTCTGAATGGAATACCGCGTCTTTGTCTTGAAATTGATAAGAAGATTCCAGCGTTGCCTGTGCAAACTTCAGGGCTTTCTGCACAACGTCATGAAAGGTCTTGCGGAGCTCCTCATTAACGGTGCCCTCCAGATCTTCCGCTGGCGTCTTCTCAGCTCCTTCATCCATTGCAGACTCAGCAGCAGTCTTCTGCTCCTTGTCCTCGGCTTCCGTGCTGGCACTGCTGGCCTCGGCCTTGGCCAGCAACTGGAACTGGTGAAGCTGACAAATCAAACTGTGCCCAACGCATCAACAAAAATATAAGACAAACCAAAAAACCGAGACACCGCATTTGGAACACACTTCAGTGGGAGTGTAAGTGGAACACATCTCGGACAAGTGAGAAGGGAGAAAGGAGAAGCAGAATGTTCATACACAACATTCGAGCCAGCTGGAAGATCTCAGGAAGGCACAGTGCAGAGATACAGAGGGAGAGGGAAAGAGAGAGGGGCGGGGCGGGGGGGGGGGGAGCAGTAGAGGAGACGGAGAGGCACACGTGATAAAGTAAGTTGTGGAAGATACACGTATTATAGAAATGCATAATACCAAGCAACCAAGTTACCAAGTTGTGATGTAGTAGACTCTTAGTTTGGAGACATGCTTCTACTACAGTCGTGACGTAAATCACTGGATTCCTTTTACCGCATCCTCCGTGACGCTATTGCAGTATTGGGCGTAGACAGGACAAAAGCTACAACATTGTAGTTTTTCCACCGTCATCATTTGGTCTTTGCACTCAAAGGGTTCGTAATGATGTTGGACAAAACACTGTACCCCCACGGGCGTGGGTGTAGCCCTAATCAATATTATACTTTACACTTCAAAGACTGGTCCCCAAACCTGCTTTAACTCGGTCCACCAACAGCGGGCTCGAACAAACAGGACACCGTTGGAAAGATACTCAGTTTAGCTTTCCAGAGATATTCTTGCCCAAGAACGAAGTTTGCAAACAGTGGCAAAGTTTGGGGTTGGTTCCGTGCAACTGCCAAGGGGTGTGACACATCAGACATGGCGCTATCGATAAATAGAAAAAGAAGAAAAGAGCAGACCCAGTCTGCTAGCCGGAGTACAGGTCCGCCCAACGGACACAGCCATCCTGCGTCGCCCCTACCATTATCTGTCTCCACGGCTCTTTCTTTTACCAGTCCCTTCATTGCCAGGGTTGTGTTCAAGGTGACGAAAAATCAAAAATAAATTCATGATACCTACTTGAATATCATGGTGAGCAAATTCGTGAGGCAGTGCTGAGCGTCTGGCTTGCAGCTTTGGTAGATAGTCACACGATCGAGAAATGCCAACAGGCGGACTCCATTCTTAACGGCACCCCTGACCACTCCTAACCGGAGCTGGGCGCTCTCGCGCATCCTGAGCATTGCACAAGACAACAGACAGAGCCTCAGCACTTGACATCTACACCCATCGCTCAGTGGCACTGATACCATGTACCACCACCGACTGAAGACATATTCTGGAATGTAACATCCAAAAGGCGTGTGAAACTACAGTCCATTCATAAAAGAGATGGGCCCTGGCTCTGGCGAGCTCCCGTTCTTGGCGATTTTATTGTATATGGTGCAGTGCCGCGAAATTTGAGACTTGAAACGGGGTCCAGAAAAGGTACCTCAACTGGGGTTCGAACCGCACAGTTATGTATTGTTGCAAGTAGCGTGAAACGGACTGGATTTTTAAAATTCAGTGCTTTTGGAGCAAAACCTGGCCGAAATCCTATTCTTGTTACGGTTTGCTTTTTGGAGAAATACTGAAATAGACTTCAGAAACTTGGAAGAACATTCCATAGAGGATTGTCAAAAAATTCTTTAAAAAACTCAAAGTTTGACCCATTTAGGGGCCGTCCGCAAATATCGAACTTTTTTCACCAAACGAATTATTTTAGTTTAGACCCAACCCCTCCCTCCCTCCCCCTCAGAACGTAAAAATTGTTGACATATACATGCATATACAACAAAACCCGCAAGTGTGTAACTGCTCCTATGGCCATGTACATGTATCGAACTTTTCTGAAACGAAATTGGTCAACCCCCTCCCACCCCATAACGAAATTATTTCGTTTCGTGAAAAAAGTTCGATAATTGTTGACGACCCCTTAGGCTGTGTTTACATGAGAAATATCAACCTGGGTCGAGTTCAGCCCGGGTTTAAAGTCTGTACGATAGACAAAATAGGTGAGCGTTTACATGAAGACAATTGACCCGGGTCAAATACTGATATGCCGCCAAAATTCCACTTCTAGAGTCCTGTATGGTCACGTGAATCCGTTTGCGCGAATTTCGCATGTGCAGTGCTGTTCAAACCTGGCGCGAGATACGATATCTTTGACCCGGGTTGATTTCAACCCTCCCCCCCCCCCCCAAGGGGAGGGTTGAAATCAACCCGGGGCGAAATTTCAACCCGGGTCAAGCGCAATGCGTCATGTAAACGCGCCATTCATTTTGTGTACATGGCCGGTTGAAATCTGACCCGGGTCGAACTCAACCCGGGTTGAAACGCTTCATGTAAACACAGTCCGTCTTTTTATGAATGGACTGTAATCAATCAAACAGTGCAGTTGTTACGAGAACAAAGTACCATACTCAGGCAGTTCCAACAAACGTTCACGCACACATGCACTCACTCAAGCACGCACATATGCATGCCCACCGCAGGCATGTACACACGTAGACTAGAGCACGTCTGCCGTCTACGACAATGTTGTAGTTGGCTGCGCACACAGTGGCCAGTGGTGCGATTGTCATCGACAACAGAAGTGGCAGCAGAGGAACCTCGCTTGGTGGGCAGGCAGTGCAGTGAATGACCCAAGGGCCCCTGCGACTGCCGCGTCGTCTGGATTTCCGTTTGTCTCACCTCGTCGTCACGTCACTATGGTACCAGTAATTACAATCTATCATTATACATGTACCGGTATTTGTGGCAACGCTAGCGCGAACTGCTATTAGATTGTCTTCTTCATGCACGTGTCTCCATTCTAGCGCCATGTGCATGCATGTCCCAGCAGCACAGTGCGTTTCGTTGTCACCTTTAGAACGTTAGTCACCTCCACCTTCTTCAGGTATGCCACTTTTCCATATAGAGAGGGCACAATTGCGCCACATTCACCCAATAATTATATACTCATTCCTGTATCTGCTATTCATCCATTATCTACCCTCCACTGAGGAGCTCTCAACGAGCGAAACAGCTGTCTGTAGGATATGCAACATCTACCCAAGAACGAATTTCCTCACTATGGATTGGTAGTGTGAGTGTGGGTCAAGAGCGCAATGTGGAGTGGTGAAGTGTTGAAAAAATCAAATGGCCAAGTTCGTCGCAGCTTCTACGTTAGCGGCGCTTCCCTTTTACTCAATGCAGATACACATGTATATGCAAACAAATCGAAATAATCGTTTCGCTTTCTGGTGAAATATTCAAAATGGTACGCGCTCAGTAAGGGCCCGGTCACACATGCACTGAGGTTCCGCTTCGGCGGCAAGGTTCTTCGACGGCGAGACTGATGCCTCGCCAGCGGTACCACGAGTGTACAGCCACACATGACAGACAGGGCAAGCTCTACGTTGGCGGAAAAAATGAGTGAAGTGGACGGTGGTGCATACGGTACGGTACGGACTACATGCCACGCATTTTTTTGTTGCATGGACATCATACGCATGCACACTTCTCGTAGCAAGTCCATATTCAGTAGGTCGTGGTGTATTCCGTTGATGCAAACCCCCAGAAGCAAGAGTGCCGCTCCCAAAATTTCCGAGGCAGCGGATTTGAGTTTCCGCTGAAGCGGAAGTTCCGCTTCTCGCAGTTGCCATGGTATTTTCCGCTCCTGCAGCGTCGCTTCAGCGGAACCACTACTTTTGAGTGCATGTGTGACCGGGCCCTTGCGAGAAACAATGAAACATCATGCTGTGGCCTTAGAAAGAAAAACGCCAAACTAACAAGATGCTCCCTTACGTTGGCTTGTCTAGCCATGAATCAACCAGCTGGATAGCAAGATCTGCCGCGCCACAAATCAACTGCATCTGAACAGTAAACGAACACCGCAACACAAGCAGGCAAGTTTGAAAACTCAAGAAATTCAATTATGAAAAAGAGCATGCTAATTTACTCAGCCCTCGCCTACGTGTATATTTTCAATTATTAAGATAAAAGTCCTACACAAACTCGACTGAGGCATAAACCGGCTAACATGCACACCTACCCAATACATACAAACTTAATGGCACTAATTTTTCCCGAATACATCCGTTTTCAACAAAAAAATCCGGATAGGCGAGGGAACCGGATAATCGAACACACATCCTGTATGGATGCATGACAGAATTATGCTGTTCATCGGTAACCAACGATTTTCTTCCGGATGGCGAGGGATCCGGATAAAAGAGGACCGGGTAAGCGAGGTCTGCCTGTATACTGTAACAATGAGATCAGGTAAGCTCTTCCACCTCTCCAAACAACCACAGCCATTTTCTCCCCACCTCTCAACAGCCACCCGCTACACCCGAAATAATCATGTCTTGGAGTGATAAGAGACAAAAAAAAGAAGGAAAGACAAAATAAGACAAGACCAGACAGGCACAAACAGATACGCATGCACATACGCACGCACGCACGCAAACACACACACACACACACACACACACCATTGGACCATTGGACGCCCATCGCCGGAGGCGATGATAGCGATGCTACAGCAGAAGCCATAGCAGCTTGTGCTGGGACACACACACACACACACGCACACTTGTACTTGTACTTGCTCACTGCCAAAACTGGTCACGTGGGTCTCCCCTTGGGAGAGGGGAGAGAGACCCAAAAGGAATCTTGGAAAGATGACTCAATTAGCCATTGAACCACCCAACGGCCGACACCCCCTGAAATCCCCAAACTAGGGTAGACTTGAAATGATCCCACTTATGGGCTCACCACACCTCAGCAAGTGGGTGAGGACAAGGTGCAGAAAAAGGATTGACGGCATCAGGGTATCCGTCCCGGGATCCAACTGCAGGTACCCCTGCCCCCAGTGAAGGTAATACTTGGTACTAGTGTGGGTGGCTAAATCAGAGTGAATCTGATATAAGCTTCACTAGCACCATTGATTACACAAGAGTTAATCTAGCCAGAAGCAGCCCATGGTTAACAGGTATGTATACTTCAAATAGAAAGTATATGAACCCTGAAACCAACAAAGGTGGTAGGTACAGCAAACACGCACACACACACACACACACACACACACACACACACACACACACACACACACACACACGTACACACACACACGTACACACGTACACACAGGTTGCAATGGGAGAAGCTGAAAAGGGTACTGAATGTAGCTACAATCTTACCTGCTTGACATCAACTGACGTTAACCGGTCCACCATCAAAAACAGTGCATGAAGAAGATTACCCGGGGTGGGCTTTAACAAAGCGGCAGCCCGCAGGATTTCTTCACGACCGGACATGTAGAGGATCACTCGTATCAACAGTATGTCAACAGCAATGAACGGTCCAAGCTGTGTGGCAACTTCCTCCAGAGTTCTGAACACATACGAGAGGCAAAGCGGCTGACAAAACAGTGCGAAACACAAAACGACTGCCTAGGGACTGAATAGCACACAAACCAGCGAATGATACGACAGAATTCATTACGTGAAGCTCTATATCGCTCACACAACACTTCCTAAAAACAACTCCACACAGACCATTTGACCAGAAACATACTTGTCATCAAAATGGCGAATAGTGCCATTGAGACCAGAGAGAGCCCACCAGCCGTCCTGACCAGCCGAGGTCGCACCCTTATCGACCTTGACCGCAAACGCCTTTATCTTGCCCTGGAGAATGTGCACCAGCGGCAGCACAAACAAGAACTGCCAGTAGGGAGTGGGAGACCGCTTGTGGGCGTCGCGTGCCAAGTTCACCACATACAGTACACAGGAGGCCATATCCCTGGTAGAAGAAGCAAGAGCGACGACAAAAGCAAAAAGAACAACAGCAGGACCGCCAGATAAGAATGTGCCAGTGTGTACAGTCAACTTTGCGAATAACGACATTCGGCGGGCATCAGAAAAGTGTCCTTATTCGCGAAGTGTCCTTATATCCGAAGTCCCATTTGAATGTATGTGAACCCATATTTTGTATAGTATGACATGCATATCGAAATGAAGCTCTTTTCATGCTCTACGTCAATTTGTACTTTATTTTCGTATTGCAATTGAAAGGAGCCATAAAGTCAATATCCAAGGGAAATAAATTGAAAAATTAACTTTTTGGAGCCATCTACAGGGACATGTTCATGTACATGTATGAAGATTAATGTGCAATCATGTACAACTACATGACATTGTACAATAGGTGTGCTGATCATTCCAACTATTTTGAAGCAAAAGAAAAAAGAAAAAGCCCCCCCCCTGGCTGTATCTTCTTGTATGTGTGCCTTATCCATCGCCACGGGTTCTGGTACTTCTGCATGACAGGTACTTGAAATAGCTGTCAAAAACCCAGAAAGTCGTTATTCAAGCAGTGAATATGACCTCGGGGCACTAAAATCATGTCACTCTTCGCGAATTGTCGTTATTCAGATAGTCGTTATATCCGAAGTTAAATGTATACAGTCAGATGGGACTTTGCTCTGGGCATGGAAATTCTGTCGTTATTCGCGAATTGTCGTTATATCCAAAGTCGTTATTAGCGAAGTTGACTGTATACCAGTGTGATGTGCTACGCCAACATCCACAGTAAGATGATCAAGAACACCGCGAACAACAACGTACAGAGGGCATCTCAGGAGCGTAACGAAATGAAAGCATTACTGTAAACTGCCTAATATTCGCGACGGATTAATATTCGCTATTTTCGCGAGGCAGGCATAGTGGGATGGTCTAAGACCATGATTGAGAAACAGAGGGTACCAGGTTCAAGTCCTGCTTGGAAGCGGAAGGATTTTTTCCAGCCGTGCTGCGACCCACAGTTAATTGGGAACTCGTGGCCTGGCACGAGGAGAACATGGATGCAGTGAATGGGATTTTCGGTCTTTGACCACTTGCCGGTGAGCTGATCTACTCACCTCCCACCGCTTTAGGAGCTGCATCTGCGCCTTGATCCTTGAAGGGTGGTGGCGTTCCTACAGATGCGGAAAACTCGGTTTCCAGCCGAGTCCCACGCGAACCGTGAAATTCGGAAAAAAATCGCGAGAAGAGCGTAACGCGAATATTAACCAGCGTGAAATCTAACTTCAACAGTGGGTCTACGTAGGTGGCCCCAGTGCTTCGCGAACTTTTGCCATCGCAAACTTGCTGGTTCTAAGAAATCGCGAAAGTTTAGTGACGCGAATATTGGGCAGTTTACAGTACTAGCCCAAGCAAACGCGTTCATTTGCTGCACGAGTATGTTCGATCGGGCTATGAATACACTGATACTTCTCCACGAAGTAGGTGCAAGATCTGCCAAGTCTCATGTACTAAGTATGTGTGAATACACTGGGCCGCGTGTCCACTTCTGCACGGATGTGTTATCGTGCGTTTCCACATTGTGTGAATCGCCTATAAAGTCTCAATGTACATGGTTCATTTAGAGGAACATTCCGGAATTTTGAGATGACCCCTTTAAACACCTGTACTGGAACACTGTGTATACAAGCAGGGCTTATTCCCACACAAGCCAATGTCTCGGCTAGGCTTCTATTCAAACTAGGTGTTTCTGTGTGTGCCAATACCCAAACCAGGCATATCAGCCGACAGAGAGCATCTTGAAAATCAGGCTTGCTTTCTAAACAGGCATCTACACGAGACAGGCCATTCTACGACACAACACAGTAAAACAAACGACTAACGAGCGTTCCCGATCGGAAAGATCTTCGAAGGCGTGTAACTGCGGACACTCGCGACGCTGATCATCGACATCCAGTTTTAGTAGACCCAAGAGTTGCGTCAAGCTTGTGTCATTCAAGGTTAGTCCGAGCTTCTTCATGATCATACACATAAAGATGCCAGCCAATAAACGATCTTCGCGTTTCATTTCCAGCTCCGTTGACATCAGCCGCTCCAAACCTGGCAGAAAATACTTCTCCACGATCATCTACAGCATATGAACAATACAACCAAAATAGTATTTGCAGCACCTGCTTTAAGACGCAAAATATTTTATGATGTTCAGAACGGCATTTCATTGCACCGAGAATTGCATGGAATGGGAGGTATGCATCGAAGATAGCCATCACCTTTTTGCGGGGCAAATTGCCCCATTTTTGGCAGGTACAACCCATTCTAGTACATTTATGAGTATGACCTCACAATGTTCATGACCTTTTATGCTGAGTTGGTATCACAGCATGTACGGTTAACCCTTTCAGTGCTAATGATGAGATCCCACTCTGTAAAGTGTGCCTGAACGGCGGATGATGAGATATCTCGCTCCACGGTCCACGCAATAGTACGAAGTGCATATCTCACTGTACAAACTGTCGTAACTCATATCCACGGCGGCCGATTTCATAAACGATATACCGTTGGAAAGGTATCAAGCTCAGCTTTCCAGTGATAAAAAGTTCTTTGCGATAGGATTAGATTTGAGTGAGCGATGACGAATAGAATTGCAAAAAATCAAAAATACGCTTTCCGGCCATCAGTTCACAGGATTCTAGCCAAAGGGGGGGGGGGGGGGTAGGGGGGCACAGCGCTCCCCTACTCTGTTTGCGCGCCCCCTTGTGAAAAATTGCCGCCCCCTACTCATTTTCCGATTTTCGTGTTTTTCATGCATAGATGGTTCACAAAGGCACATTTGTCTGGGGTGAAGTCAGGGATTCGCCCCATATACGTTGCATTTTGCGTGGCAAGACAATATTGGAAAGTGGGAAAATGGGATATAGGGTAACTGTTTCCCATGCCCCCCTCCCCTACTATTTTGACCTGGCTAGAACCCTGAGTTCAAATGTTCTGCTCACGACTTGCTTTTTTTAGGGGATTTCCCTTTGCTACAGCGCATGCGTGTTGGGCATCAAACAAAGCGCTTGGATCTCAGCTTTGCAGCGCAGTTTGAATCGTGAAGTTTGGTTTAGTTTGAGAGAGATGGCGAACGAAAATGTATTATGAAGTTGTTTAGCGATTCTCAGACATGTAACGGCTTCTTCTAGAGCACATGATAAGCATCCATTTGCTTTTGGAGAATCCTTTTAAATAAATACTTGTACTTCCTCCGCGTCATCGAAATTGTCGCAGTTTGACTTTTGATATAAAACTGGGTATATACAGTGCGTATCGGTTATAGTGTGGTCGTATACAAGAATATACTGCTTACAAGAATGAACACTCATTTTTTCATAATCATAACACATATTTTATGTGTATATTTATTCTTACAAGCAGTATTATCGCATCGTAGAATATATCGGCACTAAGAATGGATTTTGTGTAGCAAAATATGCCAGATTAGTGCAAAGCGTATCGCCTGTAGTAATAACATCTGTGCTCTGTGCATACTCAATACAATAATATTCAACACAAAAAGAGAGTTATGTCCAAGGGAGCATTGGAGAATCACTTTTTCTGTCCAGTCGGACTCTTTCTTCCGACTTCTCTCGTATCCGCTGCTCCGCAGTCGCCTAGCACGACCGCGAGTCTGATTGATCCGTGTGTATCATGTGAACGTGTCCACATGCCAAACGTGCGCGCATATGATATGTCACACGTGATTTATCGTGTGTAAGAAATATCGGCAATAAGAATCAAATGTCGTTTTTCAAACACCCACGCTATAACCGATACCTACTGTACTCACCAGCAGTCGTACCACAGCTAAGGAATCAGACATAGACGATAGTCATCAATATAGGGTGACGGCAAAGTTCTGTTTTCTGTTGTTGGAAGCTGAACATTTTGAACTAGACGCAATTTCTTCGCCGATGTCGCTGCGATGGCACTTTCGACTCGCTGAGACCAGTCAGGCGTTGCAGCCTGCACATTTCTCGCGCTTATAGCCATTCAGTCAAAAACTCAACACTGTTTCACCTGAGCTGGGGTGAGAATGACTTCGTGGAGCAAGCAGCAGCGCTTGGAAAAACATCGAGGGGGTCAGCAAACTAATGCCATGCAAGAGCGATAAAATTTATCGCTCTTGTTTCATGCAAAGGAATGCTGAGATACTCAGTAGCTGAGTACTTGCAAGGGCCGTGTAGACTCTGCGTGTACACTGTAGACTTGTGTAGTGCTAGTTGCTGATGCACGTGCAGGTACTGTACTAGAGAAGCTGAAAAAGAGTGTGCGCTCGACGTGATAGAACACTTACCTGCATGAGCAGTGACCACACAGCTGAAATGAATGGGCATCCCACGGCTAAAAAAAGTTCATTATTTTCAAGATCGAGGTGACTCCGCTGACGGTAATCAACCGACCTCGCAACGATCTGCGTTGGTGGCGAAGTAGAAATCATCCAGAGCTAACAGACGATAAGCATAAGCAGCTCTTGTCCTGTGGAGAAAGTCAAAGCGTTTGAGATGAGACGCGACCAACTTACAACCTTCCTGGAAATTTCGCGGAACGATATTTTCTTCGTCCATTGACATCAGCGACGACGAGGCCTTCAGCTCCATGTGAAACTCTCAATCCAACTGTCCTGAAACGTTACTCTAGACTTCAGACTATCATCCTGTGTAATAATCTTTGTATGGTTTAGCTTATGGAGCTGTCAGTAACAAGTCACAAGTCAATAGTCAAACTGCGACAATTTCGATGAAGCGGAGGAAGTACAATACATAGAAGTGATGCTGGCATGCCTATGGAGCTGAGAACTGCCAGAGAGTCTTTGCTTGGCTTAGGGCTTTCCAACAAGCCATCGTGGAAATCCATCCATAAATGCAAACACGGCGAAAGATTTTGCTCGGCGAAGTACATGCAGGGTCTGAAATGAAAGCAAGTGCGCTGAAAGCTTAGCCGGCAGGGGGAAACTAGGCCAGCAGTGAAAGGGGATAAGGGTTGTAGTGGACTTGCCCCGCAAAACCTAACGGCGGAAAATGGATGCGTACATCCCATTGCAAATATGGTAAATTGTACTTCAGGGCCCTGGCCAAAATCATCTTTGTGATGACATGTTACAGTACGAGAAGTCGTTAAAAACCAGGAATGGAAACACCATTGAACCTGATTTCCTTGCTCATTTCAAGCCACGCCACAATGCCCAAGAGCAACAAACCCCACCCAACAAGGGAGCTGTCGTAAATCAAGAGTTCAAGGAGCTCCAGCAAAAAACGCTTTCATTCTGGAACGTGGCTTTGGCGGGCGGCATCCATTCTTCCCAACTCTCTGAGATTGCAAAGCGGAGTCTCTAATGCCAGACCAGCATCAAGATGGAGTAGGCGCACTCCGCAAAGAATTGGGCCAATTTACCATCTCATCGCTGGGCTCACGACTCGGGAGTATGGCCATTCAAACGGCCATTCAAACAAGGTTGAGAAGCTGTAATTGAATGAGTCAACCTGATTAACAGGAGTTTCATGCATGACTAATTGATTAGGCAACATTCGTAAGGATAAACACAACGAGAGAGCAAAATTCGGACACATACCTGATTGACGGGAACCCTTCCAATGTCAACATTGTGGGTGTTCTGAGCATGATGACCGATATCTATCACCTGGGCGTGACCTAGTTGGTGGATCACCTGGTGAATTTCATCTCTCTGCGAGAATAACGTGTCCCTGTTGCTGAAGTCTAATGGGGGCAGCAGCTCTTCCACAGACAGCTGCCGCTCGACAACAGGCAAGGAAGAGCTTCGGAGGAAGCTCTTTAAGCCACTCTTCAGTGAGTTGAGGATACCACCAGAGGACTCGGGACGGATGACATTGTCGTATTTGATGAAGTTCCCTAAAGAGTGGGTTATACAGGATAGACCGCGCACACAAATAACTACTGCATCAAGGCTGTCTGCACCCAATGCATACCATATACGTCGCACCATTTTACACTGGACCTCAAAGGCAAAGAAGAGGGTGCGATTTACAATCGAGTGTGACATCCTAATTATGTGAGCATATTCCGGGATATCTTCACTTCCAGTATGACCATGGCTCAGGCTGTGTTTACACGAGGCGTTTCAACCCGGGTTAAAGGGGAAGTATACCCTAAAATCAAATTTCCACCAGTTGTAGTCTTCAGGGTGCTGAGTCGAATGGTCTTGGCCCGAGGACGCTGAGACGCTCCCTTCCTCCTTTATTCCCAATCGAACTCGCGCACTTCCACCGAAACTGGGTGACTGTGCCCTACTAAATGGGGATTTGTGTGCAAAATGTCACTAAAAGCGCCATTTCGTTCTTATAAAAGCACGGATGAACGCGATTGGCCCATGTGTTGTAGTCTTTTGGACGCTGAGTCGACTGGTTTTGGTCCGAAAAGGCTACGGTGCAGCGCTCGGGCCTTATTCCCAATCAAACATGGTTGAACAAGCGGTCACGTGCTCCTGCGTACGCCAGTCACCTGGTCACTGGACTCACTGCGCCAGCAGGCGATAAATCTCACACCAAGGTTCAACTCGAGTGACAGGAATGCACCCAAATAGGCTGTAAGTAGTTGTACCCTGAATGTGGCGCTGGTGCTCTCTTTCTCTCTCTCTCTCTCTCTCTCTCTCTCTCTCTCTCTCTCTCTCTCTCTCTCTCTCTCTCTCTCTCTCTCTCTCTCTCTCTCTCTCTCTCTCCCTCTCCCTCTCCCTCTCTCTCTCTCTCTCTCTCTCTCTCTCTCTCTCTCTCTCTCTCTCTCTCCACGTTGGGTTGGATTTCTTCTAATGCAACTTCTAGATTGTCATGCGCTGAAGGAGCATCGTACACTGACACGTGCTCACACTTACCGCCTTTGTACTGTTGTTCGGCAGGTATGTCCATGCGCCGGTTCACATTGCCACCAATGTAAGAGCGCCCCAAGTCTTCATATTCATGCGCTGGTGTTCTTCCGGGGTGAATTTTGAGGAACTTGTATGAAACAAACTTTCCGCTTGCAGCAACCGGAACATCCATTTGGGTCTCACACTTGGTGTACAGGTTGTCTGGTCCACACTTCCTGCAGTTCATGAGGTGAAAAAGGGCCAAATGTAGCAGTCAGTCAATGTCAGATTAAACTACTGAACAAAGGAACATACAGTGGAGATTGGATATAACGACCTTGGGTATAACGACAAATCGAGTTTAGCGACACAATTCTGTTGCCCAAGTCGTTTAGCAAGTCGTTTCTGCACATTATAGATCGGGTATAACGACCTCGAAAATAACGACAGATCGAATATACTGACACTTTTTTGGTGCCCGAAGACCTGAAAAACAGTGAAAATACATCGGGTATAACGATTTTCCTCTTGTATCAGGCAGACTAGCATGTCTGGAACATGATATATGGCTGTGCCACGTGCCCGGACCTCCGGGTCACTCAATTATGTGTGCTTTACATTGCATGTTGAGCCAGCGCACGCGAAAAGGGTGCTTAGCTCACTGCACACTGAACTAAGAAAAACGCGTTTGAAGTTGCACTTCAAATTTTCACGATTTCGATCAACTTACGCAGATTTCAAGCGGGCTTACACTAGTAAGCTGGCGATTCCGTGTGATTTCCTTTAGCTTCCGCGATAGCCATCACACTCAGCTGTCATGTACTTTTCACAGATCAAAAATCGGTCCACGCATCGTCGTGCAACATTGATTTTCACGGATGGGTGCATGCACTCAATCAGCGCTTGTTCATCGCGCTTTGAAAGTCACGTTAGTTTGATTTTGATTCTCCTTCGTTACGCTGTAAGCCTTGTCTTCAACATGGCCAGTCGTCGTTGGTTCACGGTGGATGAGACACTAGCTGCTGTACATGCTGGCGACGATGATGAATTTACTGGCGCTGCTGACAATGTCGGCAGCAGCGGCTATGATCACGATTCGCCAGGCGGCAACGAAGAACTTTGCGATGCTGGTGAGAAGAGGATGATGGCGAGAATTTTGGAGCACTTCATGGACAGAGCTGACACCTCGACAGCTTTAGCTGCTGATTTTCTGGACCTGAACCTGGATGCTGAAGAAGCTGTTGTTAAAGAGGTTACAAACAGAATCGTTTGGAGAAATTTAGCGCTGCTGACATTCAAGCGTCCATTTTTTCGATGCAAGAGCTTGAGAAGCCTGAGAGGGATATTTTCATTCTTGGGCTTTCGTCGTCCTCTGCGCAGCACACTGCTCACACTGACCAGCCTGGGAAGAGGAAAAGACAAAAATGTGTGTACTCGTTTCAAGGTCTGCCGGTGTGCGTCACCGCATTCCGTCATGTAATCAACATCGGCACAAAGCGCATGGACAATTTGCGCAGGCACTTCGAGGAGCATGGTATTGAGCCTAGGACACATGGCAATACTCATCGCCGTCATCACAATGCCCTCCATTTTGCCGATGTAAAACAATGTGTGGAATTTATATCAGCGTTCGCTCAGGACTTCGGTGTACCACATACAGCGCCGTTACGTGATCGTGCTGATACACCACCAGTGTTTCTCCCTGCATATTTGACGTACAAAGCCGTTCACACTAAGTATCTGACAATGTGTGAATCCAAAGGGTATAAGACCATCTCGGAGTCCAGCATGCGTGCAATTTGGCACCAGTGTCTGCCTAGCATAAAGTTCATGACACCGAGAACCGATGTGTGTTTAACCTGTGAAGCTCTACGCCGAAAAGTGACAACGGCTTTCGGTGAGATTGAGAAGCTTCAGGCTTCCAAGGATTTGGCAGACCATGTGAACACTGTACAGAGGGAGAGAGAGCACTACAAGCAGGACCTGGGTGGCATGTCCCGAAAGCGCCAAACTTACCCGTACACGGAAATCCGCCCGTATGTAGATGATCAGTGGCAGGATGAAGTTTGCCCAGCACCACCACCACTGTGAACTTAGATTTTATCTCTCAATAATCAGATTTGCTCTCTGAAATTTAATCTCCCTTTTTCTCTTTATACTACATGTAATTTACTGACTGTGTACCACCACCACTGCCACCACTGCCACCACTGCCTCCACTGCCACCACTGCCTCCACTGCCACCACTGCCACCACTGCCTCCACTGCCACCACTGCCACCACTGCCACCACTGCCACCACTGCCTCCACTGCCACCACTGCCACCACTGCCTCCACTGCCTCCACTGCCACCACTGCCACCACTGCCACCACTGCATCCACTGCCACCACTGCCTCCACTGCCTCCACTGCCACCACTGCCACCACTGCCACCACTGCCACCACTGCCACCACTGCCACCACTGCCACCACTGCCTCCACTGCCACCACTGCCTCCACTGCCACCACTGCATGTGTATCATGCATTGCTGGATTTGCCTTTTGCGGCACATTGATATTCTGGCCGGGACTAGCCAGTCCTCACTAATAATGTCGTAAACACTACAAATTGTGTACTGTGTTGGTCTAGAGATGTTTCTTACCTGATACTTACATGGCTCTTTGGTAGGGGTCAAACGGGTGTACCGGGTACCCGCCCGTTAATCTCAGGTACCGTTAGCACAAGGGTACCCGTTTGTAAAAAAAGAAAAAGAAAAAAAGCTGCCACCTCATTCGAGGTGGCAGCTGAGTTACTAGAAAGTTACGATGGTTTTCCGACATCTAACCTGCCACAGTGCTTGAAGATGAACTAGTGTCATCAGGCTGAGTGACCAGTCGGAGTGTCACACACGGTGATGTCCGTAGGTGGTAGCTATGATACTCATGGTTGTAGTTTGTTCCTTCAATCGACGAGCTTGGCTTAGTTGAAAAGTAGTTCGAAATATTGCATACAAGATTACAGATTTGTGAAGATTCGTTTCACGAGTTCAACGAGCTAGCACTAGCAGCTAGCTGGCCAGCAACTAGCCCTTTCACAAAGGTGCTCGCCCCTTTTTTCGCCCTTTTCGGCCCTTTTTGGAAAAGCCTGTTTCTTTCGCCCTTTATTGCGTTTTTTGGTGAATATCGCCCTTTTTTTTAAAGCTTTTTTAGCTGAAAAAGTGCTGAAATCTGTTTGCTCATGCATGCGATCACAGTTTCCGAGTGCTCGATGGGCCATGGGCCTTGGCACGCCGCCTTTTTTTGGGGGGGGGGGGGCAACAAGTTGGTGAAGCTTGTACCCGGTGTACACAATGCTGTAAAAAGTGGGGGGTTTGAACTTTACTTCCTGTTTTGCCTTTCGTGGACCCATAAATGGAAAAGTACATGTAGCACTAGGACCATGTACGATTGTAAAGCGGGATTCACAGAAGCTTTTTTGCGATGCGACGCGCGATGCGATGCGATCTGCGACGGACGCGTGCGATGCGAGCTCGCGAAATACCATTCACAGAAGAAGTCAGTGATGCGACAACATCTTGCTGATTTGGCTACGTCACCATGATATTCGCGCGGTTTGATACAACTTGTACAAATTTATAGGCAACTCTTGAACCTTTGTACAACTTTGCTGTAGAAAAGGTCAAAATCGTACGCCAAATCGCTTGTCGCATCGCATCGCAAAAGTTGAGCCAAGCTCAACTTCTGCGATGGCCTGCAATGGCCCAGTTGCGGCAGTTGCCAGGGGTGCGACATGGCTGCGATTTGGGGTTTTCCCGGTTTCGCGTCTGTCGCATCGCGTGTCGCATCGCAAAAAAGCTAAGCACCCTTTCCGCGTGCTCTGGCTCGTATATTAAAAAGCCGGGCTTTTTTCTGTAGAAGCCGAAGACAGGGCTAAGGCTCTATTCAAATTAGGCTTCTATTCAAACTAAGTATTTCTATGTACGTCAACATTAAAACTAGGCGTGTATGCCGATGGTGCTTCTTGAGAATCAGGCTTGTATTCAAACAGGTTTCTACAGTTGCGCTCGGTGAAATCCGGCCCGAAGTGCATAACTGGCGCTCAGTACTGATGCGGCCCTTGACGCCCTCAAAGCTGTACAAGTGCTAGTGTGCACGTGTGCCGTATGAACTGTGCATGTGCTGTACTCATACGCATGCATGCTTACACCAAAGTGTAAAAAACCGCGCCAAACAAAGACAAGTGTAACATTCATTTCAGTTCAGCACAAGTAAAGAAGACGGAGATCGTTTCGAAGCAGTTTATTTCATACACAGAGCAGCAGGGCTTCCATATTATGTGTGGCCACCGTCTGCTTCGATTAGGGCTTCAACACGACGTGGCATTGACTCCACGCATGGGGAAACCGTGTCAGGAGCCAACGAGTCCCACTCCAGGTGCAGTGCCTGCACCAGCTGGTCAGCATTCTCGCAGCGATGTGGAATTATTCTCTTCTTGAGAAGAGCCCACACATTGGGAATGGCCATGTCCTTCTTCTCTATCTCCTCTTGATCTTAAGCTGTACTTCGTGAAGTGAATGAAAGAAATTTTGAACTGTTTTTAGCATGCAACACGTGCACTCCGAACTTTTACACGAGGTGCGTACCGTTGAGTTCATACACACAAATCGCCAGTGATGTAATGGGAGCTGGCTTCGCGGCGCCGGCTTTGCACTTTGGGCCGGATTTCACCGAGCGCAACTGTATACGAGACAGGCTTTTATACAAGACACTACGGTATTGAGTGCACAACTACCAAGTCACTATTTGGGTGGGCTTGCGTAAATGTGTTCCATAACGATTCGATAATGCATGGTCAAACCCGTTGCGTGCACAGTTCAGTACACGGACCCAGTGGATGATGTCTTTCTAAATACAGGCATATTGTATTCGGTGGGATTGTGACGTGTTCGAACCACTAGCACCTCAATTACATTCTAGTGGCAGATGTGATGACAACGGTAACATGCTCTACACCCACATTAAATTTAACTACACAAGTATCAATACCCAGTAGATGGTCAGACAGACACACACACAGACACACACAGACACACACAGACACACACACACACACACACCTCAGACCTGCCCATCGCGGAAGCGATGATAGCGAACAGCTATGTTAGACATAGCAACTTGTGCTGGGATTACACCATTCAACAGCTTGCAAGGCTGATGAATTGACCGCCACTATTTTTAGCCTGGTATCCACCACACAGCTGATTGAAGTGACTTTTTCTGGCCAGTGAATCCCTATTTTTCATTTTTCCATTTTTTTCTTTTTTCTTTTTTCTTTTTTTCTACACACACACACACACCACACCACATACTCCGGCATACACTGGCTGTTGGTAACCACCCAGGAGAATGAAAGAAAAGTCAGGAAGAGACCGAGAAAGAGAAGAAAGACGTGTGCGACCATAATCGTCGGGAATTGAACCCGCAACCTCTCGATTGGAAATCGACTGCACATACCACTGCACCACACACACACACGCACACACACACACACACACACACACACACACACACACACACACACACACACACACACACACACACACACACACACACACACAAACACACAAACACACAGACAGACAGACAGACAGACAGACAGACACACACACACACCCAAACAGCCTAATTATAGACAACCAACAAGAACACAACTGAGTGCCACTTACCCAACCTCCCTCACGAAACCCACGATATTCTTCCAGCCGTCGATGCTGCTCACGACAGCCAGAAAGTCTCCATGAGAACGCTTCCACTCAGGAGATAGCAGTGCACGAATCGTCACTAACACACCATCATGCTTCTGCTCTGGCAGAGGAAGTGCAGGACTACAAGGACAGTTAACATGGGGAGAAATGATAACATTACAATAAAAATGTGCCGTACAAAAATGTCACTCCACGTACAAAAATGAGCATGCGCAGATATGCAAGTGAAGCCAACACAGAGCTCTGGCTCTCCATCAAAATGCAAGTGATTCAGAGTTACTGACATTTCCAAGTTATGTACGGGCAGGGCCCGGTCCCGGACTGCCCGGATAAGAGAGATACGAGTGTATGTACATGTACATACTCCTACTCACAACGCCCTGGTTAACACAACACACTGCTGTCCTACCTCAGGTTACGGTTCAGCTCCGGCTGCGGCTGCTGAGACTGCTGCCTGTTCTTTTTCTGGCCTTTCTTGGTGGTTGGATCGACAAAGTTGGCCTCGGCACCCTTCTGATAGTATGTACCTCCCTCCATCTACCGTACCAAAAGCAAAAAAGCAGCAACAGCATCAAGCACCTTACAGAAACAATGGCTCTAAGAATCACACACCGTGAGTTTGTGTACAAAAGCCATATGCAGTCGACTCCACTTATAACGAACTCGCATATAGCGAATTTCGTGATATAGCGAACCAGGGTCCATGTCCCTGTTAGAACTCATACAAAATTGAACCTTTTTAATATCGCGAACAATTTTCGTTTATACCAAACAATATCTTGTAGGGACGCATGTAAACTAAGTGCAATCATACTGTCATAGGCCACATGCCTGTCATGACTAGTGTTGCTTACCGCATTATCTCCATTCAGCCAAGTTCACCTTCGACGGGGCGCACGGGACGCGACGTAAGGATCGACGGGAAGCGATGGGACGGTCTGACGGCGTCCAATGTGAACACCAGGAACGGGAATGCAACCGTACTGCTGTACGGATCGGGAAGCGACGGGAAGAGTTGGATCGATCCAACTTTTCATGCCATAGACGGGCGTAGACGGGGACGCAAGCGTACAAAACAGCTGCATTTTGAGTGTGAACAGGAGACGACGTCGTGCGTTGACTACTCCCGATTCGTACTTGGAAATTATTAGCATTTCGAACACTGCGCTTCCCATGATAACTCGCAGAATGGCTCCCACGACTTAAGTTGAATTTTAGCAAGATAAGGTCTGATGACACTTATGGTATTTAGGGATAGTTCAGGAGCATGACAGACGAACTGTTTTCTCATTTCCCGGAGATATTATTTGAATGGCACACCTTTCGAAGCTACTTTTTTGGTGTTCATGAAAAACTGGTATTGTGAACTTGATTCCGCTTCATTCAAGGAGAAATAATTGAAAAGAATTCCTGAAAAACAAGAAATTAGGCCAAAAGTCACCCTGTCACGGACCGTGCCTTATGACTGGCGCAGTTCGCTGTTGAACGACGCAACGACTGCAGCATGTCGTGTCGTACGAATCGCACAAGATTTTACAGCTCACCCCAGCCTTCCCGACAGGTCCTTACGTCCCGTACCGTCAGCGTTCCGTCGAATGTGAACTAGGCTCTATAAGCCCCGCGCTTATATTTTTTCAACCAGTCCGGACCCGGGCTTCTACTAGAGACTGGGCTTATAATTTTTTATTTTTTCGACCACTTGGTGCATGTACATAATACAGTACATCGCATATTGTTTTTCGTTATATCAGTAGCACAAAGTTTCCCAGCAGGTACGGGGACCGCAGTTTTGTGCTTCCTGGTACACTGAGTCTGAAATTTAGATTTCGGGGATCACACACGAATACCACAGCACGTGTTTATGCGATACTGTGTGACGTCAAACGTGCATGGACATGATCCATACAGTTCGCCATTATAAGCCCTGCGCTTATATGGGAGACTGCGCTCGTATATTTTCCGAAGCCCTCTCGGAGTACGCTTATAATAGAGACTGGGCTTCTACAAGAGACTGCGCGTGTAATAGAGATAATACGGTATATGGTGTGACTGCGTTTCTGTTACAAAGAACTTCGGCTATAAAGAACTAATTCTCCAGCACAATGGTGTTCGTTGTATCAGGAGTCGACTGTACTAGTAGTAATGCATATGGTATGGTAACATACATTGATGTTTACACCCGGCTGCTATTCGAGCCAGTCTCCTTTTCAAACTGGAGTTTTCACGCACAACCAGTGCACAACAGGTGTGCTCATATCATGTCAGTACAGTGAAGCCTGTCTAAGACGACCGCTCAAGGGACTAGAAGAAGTGTGGTCTCTGTAACCAGGTGGTCTCCTTATCCAGTGCCATTTGACTGGAAGTAGCATCCCTTGGTTCTGGCTGCAGTGGTCTTCTAGGACAGGTGGTCGCCTTATCCGAGCGGTCACTGCCTTGACAGGTTTTACTGTACACTCTTCCAATCATCATGCCCTGATTCAAATAATTACATTCTTTTCAAATCTCTCATGCTATGCAGAAAATAATGTCGGTACTCATACTTAAGTGTATAGACTCATTCATCCGCTGACTTTGACTGAAAACTCCCGGACGGGGTCTAACAAGCTAAAACGCGAGCAGCTCAGCCTTAGCATCATACCGAGACCCTACGGTCGGCAAAGCTACCCCTGCCTCTCCCCCCACTCCTGCCATTCCATAATGTCTCATCAAATTGTAAAAAAAACATCAACTCAGCCTTCGTGTCATACCGTATTTTACTATTTTCACAATGAAATCCCCTCCCAAACAAACCCCTCTGACTATTACAGTTCCCTGTCCACACACTACAACTGTAGAACATGTTCATACCTGATCAGCTGGCCCAGCTGTGGCATCAGCACTAGCTCCAGGAGCGGCCGAGGAAGCGGCAGCGTTCGCGTACGACTTGGTCTGGTCAGCAGCTCCGGCCCGCTGCCTCCGCAAGTTGTACTTCTTCCCACCGGCTGCCTGTCCATTAACATCCTCCTCTGCATCGTCCACGCCAGCATTGCTCTCTGGGTCCGAGAGAGGTGCTTGGCGCGGCTCTGCCGCCTGCTCCAATAAGGTCTTCGGCTCTTCAGCGACTGGATCGGATGTGGCGCTTCCCTCGGCTGATGTGCCGACTGTGCCGTGTGGCGAGTCAAGGCGTCGCTTTGCGGCCGGCTCGGACGACTTGGTACCTTTGCTCTGCTTCTTCTTCTGCTTGTTGCGGTAGTTCAGCTCCTTTTTCTTACGTGCCCGCTGCTCCTCGGGCGATAGCGGGGCGCCAGACTCACCCTGGTCAGGGTTTGGTGAGCGCTCGCTATCAGCGTTGACTGCATTCGGATCATCGTTGCACTCGAAATACTCCGAAGCGTCATCACTGCCGTCATTCTCGTTGTCAACGCTGCCTTCACTACACTCAGGGCCGTCACCATCAACGCCTTCTTCCCTAGTTCCATCCTCATTGCCAACATCAGCATACTCCGTGTTGAGACGCTGGATTTCTGTATTCGTGCCCGACTGGTCATCCGGACCACCATGCTCTGTGTTTTGAACACCAGTACCGAGCTGATCACGGTCTTGGTCCATTCGCTCGTCGTTGCTGGGCCCACTTGCCGACCCGGCCAGTGCGTTGCGTGCGCTGATTCTGGCAACGTGTGCGCTACCCTGCGATGCGCTGCTGCTCACTCTGCGATCCGCCTGGCCATCCTCCGGCTGGATAGGTTGCGCCTCCTGCGTGACATTGGCTGAACCTGCGACTTGGTCAACACGAACGCTCATATCGCCCGCCTTCGCACCTTCATCGTCTGTGTGGGCTTGACTCTCAGGCACACCAGCAGCAGGTGCTGAAGCTGCGTTCCCCGCTGCACTACTCGGAGTGGCCGGCAGAGACGAACTGCCCGAGCTGCCGGTCAAATCAGACTCCACTCCGGCCACAATCGGCATTCCAGAACGATCCCCATCCGCGGGTGGGCCCTGCTGCACACTGGTGACGTTGCTGCGGTCCATGTCCCCGACATTATCTTGCATTCCACGCGATGGCGTGCCAGTGGTGAGCTGAGGATCCTCGCGGACATCATCACCAGCTGCACCAGGCGTCTTGCCGGCATCAGCTAGCTGGCCGGGACCTTCAGATACGTCCACATCCATGGGTGCTTCGGTGTCAACCGCTCCACCTGAGGTCACCATACCAGACTCGATGTCAGACACTGTGCGCATAGTGTTCGGCATCGTACGTGGCGCCCTGGCACCTAAGGTTACCATCGGCTCCGTCTGATCAGTGGTGGCAGGACAACCGGGTGCAAACGGCGCAGGGTGTACAGTGCCAGCTTGCCGAGCGTTCGTTTCCAATGCTGCGTTGCCGGCAAGCGTCTGCTGATGACCGGGGTCACGATGCTGTAGGCTCTCACCTCGTTCATAGCCGCCGGCCGGATAGGATACAGCCTCGGACCCATGCATAGCAGGCATATCCTCTAACTCGGGAATCTGCTCACCTTCACCCAGCATATCTGCCATGACTTTATCTTCCCTAGCACGCAGTGAGTTGAGTTGTGTAATGTAAAACCTACGTTTCTTCGAATCGAAAGTTTGCGCAATTAAGCTTATGAACTTGCTCTTATTCTGCTGGATTCGTTCCAGCTCCTCTTGTAGAATATCCAAGAAGTCATCTCCGCTACTCTGATTAGCAGCAGGGCTGCTCTGAAGGTTACTTGGCGCTCGTTCCTGTTGGTTGGCTTGCTGCTGTTGCTGATGCTGCTGCTGTTGCGGCTGGGGTTGACGGTGACCTGAAAAGGAGGGAAGCGAGCTGTGTTGAGACGTTGGATGGCCATACTGAGCTGTGTAGGCTGCAGGGTCTCCGGGACTGCCCACTGCGATGTATAGCTGCTCCAGGGGCGCAGTGTCCGACGACCCGAGAGGTCGCACTGGCGTCGAGTTAAGCAGGTTGGGTTCGCTCGCACCGTGGTACAGCTCAAGATCTGGAGAATCCGAGCCACGGGCCAGAACAGGGGTGACGCCCTGCGCTGCGCTCTTGGCACCATCAGTATGCATACCACTGCCGTGAGGTGTTCCATGCTTGTCTTGTCCGGTCAAGGATGACGTGCCGGTCGCCCCTGGAGATCTGGGCGCAGCAGGGAAGTTCGCAGCTATGCGTATCGAGCGAACACCGACATCAATAGCAGATGCGGAGTCGGGCGGTGCGCCAGCGTCTGACCGCGGCGACGGCGGCATACTATCTGAATATGTACCACTGTGCTGTTGCTCTTGCAGTGCCTGCGTACGTTGCTGCCCATGCTCCCCCTGCTGCTGCTGCTGCTGCTGCTGCTGCTGCTGCTGCTGCTGCTGCTGGTGATGCTGCTGCTGCTGATGGTCGCGCTGGTGTTGCTGTTGGCCTTGCGGAAGCTGTCGATCCTGATCGCCACGAAGATGCTGCTCATCAAGCTGCGGATATTGCTGCTGCTGCTGCTGCTGCTGCTGTTGCTGTTGGTTGTGGTGGACAGAGCCATGCCGATGTGTATTCTCTACGTGCTGCCTGTGATCGGTGTGGCGATGGTGCTGTCCCCGGTTCTGTGGATATGGCTGCACGCGGCTGGGATAACCACCGTGCGGTTGTGCATGCCGTGGCTGCTGCTGCTGCTGGTACATATTGTGGACTGGCTGATGAATAGCCGGTGGACCATAGCTGTGCGGCTGTGTCCCGTACTGGTCCGTTCTCATGTGGGGGTCCTGGTGTTGGCGGTGCTGCTGCTGCTGCTGGTGGTGGTGCTGCTGCTGCTGCTGGTGGTGGTAGTGCTGCTGCTGCTGCATGGCATAGTAATGCTGAGCTTGCTGCTGCTGCTCTTGTGCTGTACCAAACCTTGCCTGCTGCTGCAGATGTTGTGGCAACTGCTGCTGCTGCTGCTGCAGCATGCCGCGCATATGCTCCAGGCCCCGCAGTGCATCTAGCTGCTGCTGTGATGGTTGCTGAGCAGGACTATGCACAGGTTGAGCTTGCTGCTGTAGTTCCTGCTGCTGCTGCTGCTGTTGCTGCTGCATAGTGTGTTCAGGATGTGGCAGTAGAGGCTGTCGGTCGGACGCACTACCAGGACTACTCATAGCCGCACTGGGGCCTGGCACACCAGCACCGGCTGATCGCTCGCCTTGATCAGCAATGGTATTTCCTGTACAGGGAAGAGAAGTCAGAGAAGAGCAGCAGCATAGTCGTCAGGGCTATTCCCAGCATAGTACAGCAGGCAGGATTTTCACCCAGCCCATCCTTAGCCAGGTACTGTACAAAATGCAGTGTTCAAACTGTTACCTAGGAACGTGCATCTTGATTGGCTGTTGTGGGGCGTCCACCCTCTTCACCAGTGCAACTTGCACCCTCCCACCGGCTAGAGGTTGGCCGCCTCAAAAACTGAACCCTGTTTTCGAATGACTTCACCGACACTCTTATCGCCAAGAATACACATCCCCCCAGAGTATGCAACTCCCATGCATAATTTCCAACATTCTTGCAAAGGTGGCAACCCCTCACGTGTGTCTGTCTCCACACGTTTGCACATGCCGGTGATGTGTCACCGCTGATCCACGAGGTGTCTGAAAAATACATGGCAATCACTTGTTATCACGTTTATATATATAGGGGTCGTCGCAAAAGTTTTCTGTCATCCCTGAAACGAACATCGTTCATTTCGTACTCGGAACCCCTCCCCTCCCTCTGAAACGAACACAGCTTGCTATGCTGGACGACGAAAATCGTATGCATGTACATGTCAAATGTACAGTGTCGGTCGACTTGCGATTTTGGCTCGCACCCCCTGCACGTAATTTTCATACGTAAAATTCAGCGCTGTTGGGTTTCGCTCTACATGATTTCTCCGCGACTGCTTAACATGCCTTGTTGCTTTGGAGACGCGTTGGCTGCATGCGCCCACCGCATGTGTCATATCGGCCTCGGCAGCTGACGGGTTCTTCCGGGCTGTACGACAAACTTCCCCGGGTTGTACGACGAACTAACTACTCTGCCGGTACTAGTTTACATGTTGGGTGAACGTGTTCCCCTCATGAGCGCGCGTTTGTACGGCAGTTGTCTTTTGTATCTACTTGTCACTTTTATCAATGCATGGGCCGCGGGATGTTGTATCTGCTAACTGTCTTATCGTATACGCTGGCTGTTTAGTTAATTCATAATTAATACGCATTTCTCCTTGTCTTCTCCCATTGGTCAATTCTGCATAGCAACAAGCTCTCTATGGTCTGATTGGTTGGGTTTTCCCGCCTTTGCTACTCCTTTGTCTAACTCGATCCTTTTTGTTATCATATAACCCCTGCTGCTTCTGATCAAAAGTACCAACCTTCCTTCGACCTTCACTCTTGAATCGAGCTGGAATCATAGTGACTCTCAACCTTATTCGAATGACCAAGGTGAGCGTGTGTGGCTGAATGGATACTTGGATCAACTATATTGGTTGATGACCTGGTGGGGTTACTACGGCAATTCGAATGTATATGTTGTAGCCTTGAGATCGGTATTGTGTATGTCCGGCACGACATATTTGGTGCTGTGACCAGGATCCAAGTTCTGTTCTTCTGTAGGCGATTGCTTACGGAAGGCCTCCACAAGCTGGAATGTTTGGGTGATGTCAGATGGGCTGTTGTCTAAAAGCCGAACAGATCGAATGATTTGACGGCAGGGCAGCAAACAATGATCGTAATGTAGAGCGATTGCTCTTTGTTGAAGGCAGAGTTGCCTATTTTGGAGAGGATGTGGCTAGGCGAGAGTGTTGACAGAACTGCCAACACTCTCGCGCATGCGGGTTGGACTGGCGCGCGGACTGGTGATCGGTTGATCACCGTATCGTACTACACTGATTTGTAGTTTGATGATGAGGAGGGTTGAACTGGCGCGGACTGGTGATCGGTTGAACTACAGACCAGTTTGACCATGATTTTTGCTGACCCGTACGCGAATGGTGTGATCCGATGACGACTGTAGTACATACGAACGTATGTACTGTGCAGTACTTGTGACCTGAACAGCTCTCATTGGTCGGAGGACTACCGTACGAAGTAGCAAGTGGGGAATATAAGGCACCACTGGGCAAGGAAAAGGTATCACAGTCTTGCGATTGCAAAAGACAAAGATATCCTGTTGAGAGCGAACGCACTCGATTTTCTGATTATCATGGCTCACAATCAGGCTCCGGATGCAGCAGCGAACGCTGCTGTAGGGGGTGCCAATGGTGGGGCGATGGTGGTACGGCCGGCAGTGATGCCTGAAGCATATGATGGCGTGGGGGATTGGGTGGAGTACTTGCAGTACTTCAACCAATGTGCTCGTGTGAACGAGTGGAATGACGTGCAAAAGGCTCAATACTTAGCCGTACGGCTAAGAGGGGCTGCACAAAAATTTGTTGTGACTGTACCTGAAGCCCGCCGAATGGAGTGGCCTCAGGTCGTAGAGGACTTGTCGAGGAGGTTTGCACCACCAGAGACAGCCCGCCAATATAAGTCGCAATTTAGAACGCGAAGGCGCAAGCCTGAGGAAGACGTCAGTCGATTGGCTGACGACTTGCGTAGTCTTGTACACAGGGCTTACCCGACCATGGGTGGAGACGTACAAGAAGAGTTGGTGCGGGATCAGCTCATTGATTCCATGACTCCTGACAGGTTGCGATTGCGCTTACAGGAAAATGCACCACGAACGGTTCAGGAAACGATCGAGATGGCTAACCATCTGGAGAGGGTGTGGGGGAACGAGGGCACGCACGGCCGAATGGACGATGCGTATGGCGTACCACGTCAATTGGTGACGGCTGCAGTTGCACCGTCAGAGCTCCCTACGTTGGAGTCGTTGGCAAAGTTGGTGGAGAAGCTTAGTGATCAGGTGGACAGGATTGCCCACCCTCCTAGGCCGAACCAACAATTCAGGAGAGGGGACCAAGTGGACAGAGTTGACCACTATAGGCCTGAACAATCGAGGGGTTTGACTTGCTGGTTCTGTGGCCGAATGGGACACAGAAGGGCAGACTGTCCAAACTTGATGAAACCTGCAAGGGAGTACCAATCTCGCCGACCGGCGGGAAACGGGCATTGATCGAGACGGCGGGCCGCGTCTGCGATCAAGAAACTGTGCTGGGTCCAGAAACTGAGGCGATTGTCTCGGATGCTCTAGAGAATGACTCTGAAGTGGTCGCTGCCTTGAGCAGGGCAGCAGAAAGCCACGGAGGTATGATGATTGAGGGAAGGATTAATGGGCTGCCAGTAGAGTTACTGGTAGATACGGGTTCCTCAGTAAGTCTAATTTCTGAGACCCTCTCGCAGCAGTTGGGCTACATGTTGGGCGACCTGGAACCACCAGAGAAGTCGACTGGCTTCTGCGGTGCGGATGGTCAGAGGTTGCATGTGTGTGGCACGGTCGCTGCATGTTTGGCAATACAGGATGCTATTTGTGTCCATGAGATGAAGGTGATTCGAGGGTTGCGGTATCATTGCCTGATTGGAAGGGATGTACTATCGCAGATACCTTGCGAGATCACGTCGAATGATGGGAAATTGAACTTCAAGGCTGATAAGGCTGAAGTTTCAACGGTGGAAACATCACAACGCTGCCATAATCTTCGATTGAAGAATAGGGTAGTTATACCTCCATACTGTGAGATGACGGTGGCTGCCGTTATCGAGAACAAGGAGGATGTTCCTTCATGTGGCATCACCGAACCAGACGGCTGTCTGATCGATGGTGGGGATGTTTTGTTGGCACGAGCGGTTGTTTGTCCAACAGATGAAGGTGTACCCGTTCGGGTATTGAACTGCTCCGAGGAGTCAGTATCTTTAGGAAGAGGTGCCCGAGTGGGACAGCTGCTACCTATTTCAGCCGTGATGAGTGTCATGGGCGAAGACGAGGATGATTGCGATCATATAGGAATGGAATCCACGGGGGATTCGGGAAGTTCCGAAGACTTATGGTCGGCGCTCAACATTGGACTAGAAGGTCCTGTGAGTGGGAAGTCTGTGTCGGGGGATGACGAGCTGCAGCTCGGTTATGAACCTGATGAGGGCACAGCGGAGGCGAACCGGGAGACGTCTCGTGTTCAGCCTGGTGGGCAAGGGTCAATTGGGAATGAGGAATTGGCACGCTTGCGTGATCTCGTCTGTCGCTACCGGATGGTATTCGCGATGAACTCTGCTGAATTGGGTCGCACGACTGTGCAACACCACAACATTAACACCAAGGGAAGAAGTCCTATCTTCCAGGCTCCTAGGCGATTGCCTTGGAATTCAAGGGAAGCCACCCGTGAACTAGTGAAGGGCATGAAGGAACAAGGGGTGGTAGAGGATTCTACTAGTCCTTGGTCTTCGCCAATAGTGCTGGTTAAGAAGAAGGATGGCTCAACTCGATTTTGCGTTGATTATCGCAAATTGAATGCCGTTACGGAGCGGGATCCATATCCTCTCCCACGGATTGATGATACGTTGGACGCGCTGAGTGGCGCGAAGTACTTTTCCACCTTGGATTTGTGTTCCGGCTATCATCAGCTGCCTATGGCAGAAGAAGACAAGGAGAAAACGGGTTTCTCCACTCCAGATGGGCACTACCAGTTTACAGTCATGCCGTTCGGTGTGTGTAACGGTCCAAGCTCGTTCCAGAGACTTATGAGTGCTGTCTTGCGTGGGCTACAGTGGCAGATTTGCCTCGTGTATCTCGATGATGTGATTGTGTTTGCAAAGACTTTTGACGAACACTTAGAGCGGCTCGAGGCGGTGTTTGAACGGCTATTGGACGCAGGGTTGCGTCTAAAACCATCCAAATGCTTCTTGCTGCGTACGAGGGTGGATTTTCTGGGCCATGTGGTCTCGGAAGAGGGTGTGAGCACTGATGAGGCAAAGACTCACCGCGTGGCTACGTGGGAGCACCCTACGAATGTAGCGGAAATTCGGGCATTTTTGGGGTTCTGTGGCTACTATCGAAGGTTCGTACCGAACTTCTCGGATGTTGCTAAACCCCTCACTCAGTTGACTAAACAAGGCCATGCGTTCGTATGGACCCAGGAGTGTGAAGAGGCATTTGCTACGTTGAAGAGTCGGTTGACTTCTTCACCAACCCTGGCATATCCACAATATGGACCTGATGCTCCGAGGTTCATTCTGGATGTTGACGCCAGTGGTACGGGATTGGGTGCTGTTTTGTCACCGCAAGATGAGAAGGGGGTCGAACGACCCATTGCCTTTGCTAGTCGATTGACATCTGCATCGGAACGCAGGTACGCTTCTACCAAAAGCGAATTGCTGGGTGTAGTTTGGGCGTTTAATCACTTCAGGTGTTACCTGCTCGGCAAGCGCTTCTTGGTCCGCTCGGATCACAAAGCATTGCAGCATTTGGACAACTTCAAAGAACCAGCGCCGATTGTCGCCAGGTGGTTGGAGTTCCTCAGTCAATTCGAGTATGATCTGCAATATCGAAAGGGCAAGGCTCATTCAAACGCAGATGGCTTGTCCAGACAGAAGACCAAACCTGTGATGAATGTTACAGAAGTGGCTCCTACCGTTCCTGGACCCTTGGTTCAGCGAAGGGACTGGACATATGGGACCTGGGCGATTGCCCAGCAAGCTGATCCTGACCTCAGGCAGCTTTTTGAGTGGCTAATGGATGACGGCGAGTCGGCTGACTTGACCGGAATCAGTCCGACTTTGAGGAAGTACTGGCGGGGACGCCAGCATCTTTCTGTAAAGGGCGGAGTGATTGGAAGGGAATGGGTTGAGCCTGAGATTTCAGCGCCGAACCGTTTTCAGATTTTGATCCCAGTTGATCTGCGGACCGAAATCTTGAAGGAGTATCACGATTTCCTTGGTCATGTGGGTATGAAGCGGACGATTGCCCAGCTTCGCACTCGGTTCTATTGGCATGGAATGAGTCGTGACGTTGAAGATTGGATCGGCACGTGCACGTCATGTTGTCGACGCTCCCGACCGGTTGGTCGAGGACAAGGGGCACCCTTACAGGTGTCCTGGGCGGGGTATCCCTTCGAACGTGTGGCTATGGATTTGATTCCAGGACTGCCTGAGACTTCAGGTGGAAATCGTCACATTTTGGTCGTTGTGGACTACTTCACGAAGTGGGTAGAGGCGTATCCGTTGAAACGGATGGATGCAGCGACTGTTGCATCGGTATTTGTGAGCGAATTCGTGTCCAGATTTGGAGCACCGGATAGCTTGCATACGGATCAAGGTGCAAACTTTGATTCGAAACTGTTCAAGAACGTTTGCGGCTTGCTTGGTATCAAGAAAACGCGGACAACGGCTTACCATCCGTCGGGTGACGGATTGGTAGAGAGGTTTAACCAGACGTTAGAGCGATTGCTCTCACACTATGTTCAGAGAGACCAGCGTGATTGGGATGTCCAATTACCCGCAGCATTAATGGCGTATCGGGCTACCACCCAAGCCAGCACAGGGTACACGCCGGCGTATCTCCTCTTCGGCAGAGAGTTCTGTCTCCCGCAAGATGTTGCGTATGGTTTACCGCCAGCTGAACAGTTGGATGAACCTATGTATGTGCGTCTATTGCGGTCCCGTTTGGCGGATGTGCACACGATTGTGAGGCACAAGCTCGGTGCAGTGCATCGACATCAGGCGCATCTCTATGATCATAGGGCTGTGTCGGTGGAATTCGCGGAAGGAAGTCTGGTATGGCTCTTGGTACCCGCTGTTCCGGTTGGAACCAGCACCAAGTTGGCGAAATTGTGGAAGGGACCGTTCAAGGTTTTGAACCGGTTGTCTGATGTTGTGTATCGCGTCCGTGATATGGGATCAGACTCGGCTACATGCCAAGTTGTGCACGTGAACCGCTCGAAGAAGTGTCGTGTACGCCCAACACATCTCGCTACGGTTGTACGCGAGGAAGCGTTGAACTCATCTCCGACAAGGAACCCGATCAGAACTGCGTCACCACAACCGAGCTCCTACACGCCTGATACCACAGACTTGTTGTATGCGGAAAGAGCAGGTGGCCGTGACGAGCAGTTTGGAGGAGTAGAGCTACTTCCCATTGATGCTGCAGTAGCACCGGCTGATGTCAACCGTCCAGTTCAAGGAGTACCGTTGCCTCCCGCTAACGCTGCAGTAGCACCGGCTGGTGTCAACCGTCCAGTTCGAAGAAGGAGACCACCCCAACGACTGGAGTACGGCTAAGGATTGTGGGACGCAATCTCCCAGAAGGCCGGGGAGATGTCATATCGGCCTCGGCAGCTGACGGGTTCTCCCGGGCTGTACGACAAACTTCCCCGGGTTGTACGACGAACTAACTACTCTGCCGGTACTAGTTTACATGTTGGGTGAACGTGTTCCCCTCATGAGCGCGCGTTTGTACGGCAGTTGTCTTTTGTATCTACTTGTCACTTTTATCAATGCATGGGCCGCGGGATGTTGTATCTGCTAACTGTCTTATCGTATACGCTGGCTGTTTAGTTAATTCATAATTAATACGCATTTCTCCTTGTCTTCTCCCATTGGTCAATTCTGCATAGCAACAAGCTCTCTATGGTCTGATTGGTTGGGTTTTCCCGCCTTTGCTACTCCTTTGTCTAACTCGATCCTTTTTGTTATCATATAACCCCTGCTGCTTCTGATCAAAAGTACCAACCTTCCTTCGACCTTCACTCTTGAATCGAGCTGGAATCATAGTGACTCTCAACCTTATTCGAATGACCAAGGTGAGCGTGTGTGGCTGAATGGATACTTGGATCAACTATATTGGTTGATGACCTGGTGGGGTTACTACGGCAATGCGAATGTATTGTGTTGTAGCCTTGAGATCGGTATTGTGTATGTCCGGCACGACACATGCACCACAAACCAAAACCGCGCTTTCCATTAATTTTTATTTTGCACGTGGTGTAAGGTGTGTGTACCTTGTGTTTCGCGCGGCTTGAACGTTGCCATGGATAAATCCGGAAAATGCGAAAAATATTTCGAAAAGTCCTACGGAGGACCCAACGTAGGAAAGAGCTTTCCCACGGAAATCCGTAGAGAGATTTACGTATGAAAGTTGCCCTCGCTCCCCGGCGCGTACGACATACGGATTTTCAGTTTTTCAAACGTAATTACGTAGAGCGACCCCCCCCCTATTGTTGTTAGTTGCATTCACATCTTTGCGTTTAATGCTATTGCTATGGCTGCAGTTACACTCCTAATACTCACACTTGCTGTGGTGTTCTCTCACATGTCATGCATCATGCTGTTACACCTTAGCCTAGGACTCTGCATAGGGTTGTGTTGCGTTTACATGGACAGACTTCCATACTGGAGTTCAAGTAGCCTGAACTCGTACATGCATTGCTGTTATTATGATCACATTGCGGAGGTGATTGCGGAGCCAAGATATTTCATTGCTTAGTGATTTGCATTGTAAAAATAAAATAGATAATTCCATAATTATTAAAATGTTTATCTCCATGATTGTAGATTATTTGTATAAATAATTCCATAATTTCCACTTTCAGGAAATCGAGGCTTGGACCGCGTACCGGGTGATCGAATTGAGAAAGCACCATATCGACCCGGACTAAAGAGAAACAACACCCTGCCAAGGCAAACACCTTGTCTGACCTGTTTCGCGCTGGTGCTGCGTTGTACACCTGCTGCACGTTGCTGCGCCTCCATCAACGAGACGATCCCCGCAGGAATCGCACTTTCTTCCCATATCGTCCAACGGTACAGGAAAGCACTCAAGCCATCGTGAGGGACTGAGAAAATTCTACCACGATCAAATTATTATGTGCTGATTTGTAGACAACTGCCTGGGAACTGAAATCTGCTGCGCACCTTCTCTCACGACTCCGTGATGTTGAATTCAAAAGAAAGAAAGGGTGCTTTACAGACGCTTTTCATGCTCACTGAGTCACTGGAGTGGAGTTGATACAAGACATGCCCGTGGGTGCACCGGTGAGCGTGGAACCATCATTTTGATTTAGCATGATGCACACCAGGGAGCCCTACACGTATGTGTAGGGATCCCTGATGCACACATCATCATCCTTCATGGTAATCGAAACATGACGGTCATGATGTATGGTGAATTCAATGGACAATCTTATTCCTTCAATATCCTTTGCCTCCTGTTTCTTTTTTCCTTCCTTCGACCCCGCTGCTCTGTGACCCTTCCCTCGCTTTCTCTTGTCCTTACTGTCTTTTGACTTGTTGAGCGGCCTGAGCGAATGCTAGGGGTGGATGTCGCCGATTTGTTGATGTTTGTCACCCTGATATGCAAACGCGGAGATCGAGAGGCAAATAATAATAATCGAAACAGATCCTTTCACGAAGGGGAAATCCCTAGGCCCTGGGCATGTTTCGGTCGCGAAAAAGCACAAAAAAAGCAGTTTCGACTGTCATGTTTTTTGCACTCTTTTTGATTTTGAAATAATTCAAGACCCTTTTTCTGCAAGTCACTAACATTATTGTGTGTAGCTGTAAACATAATAGGACAAGGATCATTTTCGATTTCGAAAGGATGGTTTCGGAGTGTGTGGCCTGTGTTGCTGCTGGTGGGACATGGAAGAGCTCGACGCAGGCGTAATCGCCAGAGGATTTCCTGCGGAAAGCGAGCGGTGCCGGTTACATCCCGCTGCTGCGTTCGATTTCTACAATGGAGTCATTCGGTGGGAGCTGGTATGAGCCAGCTGCTGCGTCCGGCAATGTTTCCCGGCACTGGGCGCGGTATGATGGCCACGAGGAGGATCGAGCCTGGTGAGTGCATCGCCTCGGTGCCGCGGCAGCGCCTGGTGACGTGCGCGGACGTGAAGCATCAGCTAGAAATACACCAGGACACGATGGACAAGTCCAGCAATGCTGCTGGTCTGGATGACGTATCCATACTGGCTGTGTTCATTCTAGTGGAGCGTAGCAAGGGATCCACGTCGCAGTGGAGCCACTATCTTGACGTGCTGCCCGACGCGTACGAACTGCCGGTGTGTTTTGCGGCTGACGAGCTAGCATTGCTGCCGCTCGCCTTGCTGGAGCGTGTCCGTGCGCAGCGCTCGCATCTGGTGGAGCAGCATGAGCGAGCGTCCAAGCTGCTGACGGCGCTCGTGCTAGACCTGCCGTACGAGCGGTTCCTGAACGCCTGGTGCGCCGTCAACACCAGGACGGTGTACCTGAGTGAGAGCGGCACTGGAAACCAGGCAACGGATGATGGCGACACGTCGGCCGGCAACTGTGCACTAGCTCCGTATCTAGACTTTCTGAACCACTCGCCCGGCGCACGCGTCACGGCCGGATACAATAGCGCGACTCGGCGCTACGAGATTGTCACGCAGGACCGGTATCGTCGCGGCGGCGAGGTGTTCATCTGCTACGGTCCCCACGACAACCAACGGCTGCTGCTGGAGTACGGTTTCGTTCTCGACGACAATCCTCACTGCAGCGTCACGTTCGTCCTGCTACAACTGATACCGCTCGCGGCCGGTGAGCATGCGTTCGTAGCGGCGCTCTGGTGCGATCGGCGGCGCAGTCAGATTCTTGTTGAAGCCGAACTGGACACGGTTAACCCGACTGCCGAAGGCTGCGGCTGGAAGCTTCTTGCCGCACTGGACATTCTCGTTCTGGACGCGGCGGACCTCGACAGCTGGCATGCCTATGTGTATGGTGGACGAACACTGGCCGACCGTGCGCGGCGCGACCTGAAGGGTCGCGTTGGCGTGTGCTTATGTGCTGCCGCCCATCACCACCTGCTGCCGTCCAGAGAGAAGCTGAACGGGATCGTGCGCTGCGACGGCTCGCCGGCAAACGCGCGAACAGCGGCCACGCTGTCGCTGCAGCAGCACGCCATTCTCGACGCTGCCCAAGCTGAGCTGAACGCTTTGAGTACTGATGCTGCTGTGGGCTGAACCAACGTTTGTAATCGCGAGCTTTTCCTAGAAGACCGGGCCTCGCCGTACACGATTGCAGAAAGCACGGGCATTTCTGCTAAATCCTGGGCACACACTGCTAAGAGGTTGCTAAGTATGAAGGGCGGTTTCTTACAGCGGCTCAACGCAACACTACTCCTGTAGAAACTCACGACAAAGCCTCAGAACTTTTCGATTTAAATGTCAAACGCATTTCGGCAAGAACTAGTAGTAGTGTGCTGCTTTGCCGTGGCTCTGACGCGTGTGTTCTGGATGTGTATCCACTACCCTTACACCGGGCCAGGATTGCCCCGAACTGCTGTCTTGAATCCGACGGCAGTGAATACGATTAGTCGGCCGCCTATCTCCTCCGGACACGACAACACCGGAAAACCGTGCAAAGCGCACGTTGAGAAGTGCTGGGTGCGCCATTGCTTCTGCCACTTCCTCCAGCTCCATTATTGCTGCGTCGACTGCTTTGCCTTTTTTCTCAGCTTGAAAACACGTCACCAGTGACTCCAACACCTGATTCACCTCGTTGGCGAACCATTGCACTGCCTCGAATTCGTCTCTCACGGCATCCAAACTCAACACCTCGTCACGGATCTGCAAAATCAAGCCTCGTCGCTGCGACGTCAAGCGCCGTTTCATCTGAATTTTTGCCACTCTCATGTCTGCAGAGGCCACAGCATCGTTGACTTGCTCTTCCTGGCCGTCCGTATTACCAGGCTCAACATCATCGCCTACCCTGTTCCGCTCGTGACTGATATCGTCGCTGTGTTCAGACATCTCGCTCCGATGGACTTCCGACTAGGTGAAGATAACCATCCTCTGCTACCATTAGACGAGAGAGGGATCTGACTCACAGAGATAATAACGAATAATCTTTCCTTCAGGATGAGACACTAGTAAAGCAACTGAACTACACGAGAGGAGTAACTGCAAGCTGTAACCATGGTAACTGACTGAAACAACGAAAGAACAATTACATGACTGTATACGTGTAGTCTCCAGTCCAAAACAACAAGACGCCCACTCAACTAATTATGCACAGAAACTACAAGCCGCGAAGTCCGTTTCACGCGCGCGCGCGGGAAACGGCACATGCGACATGCATAACAACACAACACGATGCACTACTACTACTGCTACATGCATCATGAATAGCATGAATAGCATGGAAGAGCAGCCAGGAATGATTAGACTGGTCCACACAGGAACAATGAATGCATCACCTCTACGCATGCACGCAGCATAACTGACACCAAAGAAGGGCACGTTGATTCGGGCATGCACTGGAATTACCATGACCGTATTGACACCCAAAGGCAAGCGGCAGTGATTTGCCATAACACCATACTTAGACTACTGAAAGAGGTTCACTTCTACTCAGAACTATTACTACCGAATCACCTGCGTGCATGAACAATGTGCTTGAATAGAGAGGCTCTTAAGTTTAAAGCTGACTCTGGTGTCTCCCCACGATGGACAGGTCCTTTCGTCGTCGATATACAATGTCCTTGCAATGACTAATGGCACTCCAGCTAGTCAGGCTCAGTACGGAATCGTGTGGCGGGTCTGTTGCCGTGTTGGCTTTCATCATGTCCATACTAGTATTTGCATCACTTGCTTATAAACACTTCACGCTCAAGTATTTGCGAAACTGGAATACGGCAGTGAGAATATGTGTTATGATTAGGGGTCAAACGGGTGTACCTTTAACTAACGAACGGGTAATTTTCTTAAAGGGGAAGTTAAGGCAAAAATTAAAATTTCACCAGTTGTAGTCTTCGGGGTGCTGAGTCGAATGGTCTTGGTCCGAGGAAGCTGAGACGCTCCCTTCCTACTTGAATCCCAATCGAACTCGCGCACTTCCACCGAAACTGGGTGACTGCGCCCTACTAGATGGGGATTTGTATGCAAAATGTCACTAAAAGCGCCATTTCGTTCTTATAAAAGCACGGATGACCGCGATTGGCCCATATGTTGTAGTCTTTTGGACGCTGAGTCGACTGGTTTTGGTCCGAAAAGGCTGCGATGTAGCGTTCCTCCTTTATTCCCAATCGAACATGGTTGAACAAGCGGTCACGTGCTCCTGCGTACACCAGTCACCTGGTCACCGTGCCTGCAGGGTACAACTTACTAGCCTGTTTGACCTTTTTTGCGTGCACTCCTGTCACTCGAGTTGAACTCGAGTTGAACCTTGGTGTGAAATTTGTCGCCTGCTGGCGTGGTGACCAGGTGATTTGGGCACCCAGGAGCACGTGACCGCTTGTTCAACCATGTTCGATTGGGAATAAAGGAGGAACGCTGCATCGCAGACTTTTCGGACCAAAACCAGTCGACTCAGCGTCCAAAAGACTACAACATATGGGCCAATCGCGGTCATCCGTGCTTTTATAAGAACGAAATGGCGCTTTTAGTGACATTTTGCATACAAATCCCCATCTAGTAGGGCGCAGTCACCCAGTTTCGGTGGAAGTGCGCGAGTTCGATTGGGATTCAAGTAGGAAGGGAGCGTCTCAGCTTTCTCGGACCAAGACCATTCGACTAGACTCAGCACCCCGAAGACTACAACTGGTGAAATTTTAATTTTTGCCTTAACTTCCCCTTTAACGGGCGGGTTAACGGGTACCCTTTAGCAGCCATATTATTTTTTTGCGCATTTCTCACATAAATCATGATTTTAATTTGTATATTCTCAGGTTGTATTTTGATACTACATTATGATTCGCAATTGATTCGTGTATCATAATATTTAGAAAAGCGATCCTGTCAGCTTTTCTATTATTGTGTTCACATGGCGCTACCTAACGACACCGCTATTCAGACACGTTGTCTACGTAGCTACGTAAGTTTCTACGTAAGATGCTCGGTACCTGGTCCTGGACCAGGGAGCTACTCCATGGCTCCTACGTACCATCGCATGCGTGTGCATTGCAGACTTTTTGTTGTTGCCTTTTCCGTTTTCGGATGTGCATGCACGAGGAACTTCCTTCTTTGGAACTGCTTCTTGCATGAGCTGTTTCGGATATTTCGTCTCCTGGCCTGGCTTATTTCGTTTCGGCGCTGCTGAGACCTCCTTCCGCGGAATATTACTCAATGACAGGTGAGTTGACCAGTTCCCTTTGATTCATTTGCTTGTGTTGACTCTTTCATTTACGAAAAGTGTGCTGATTTTGGGCGGAATGCAATAAATAATGGAAAAGCTGACAGGATCTCCTTTCTAAATTTAGCTTTTCCGCTGCCGAGGCCTCCTTTTACGGAATACTCAATGACAGGTGATCAATGAGTTGACCAGTTTCCTTCGATTCATTTGCTTATGCTCACCCTTTCATTTACGGAAACGTGTGCTGATTTTATTCGGATTCGGATCCATTTTTATCTCTTTGCCCTTGCCTACAGTGTGCGAAGAACGCGAGTTCACCTTCTTGACGGTAAGGCTTATGTTAGATGTGTTGTCGAAATACTCATATTCATTGTACATTAGTACGTTACAAGTAAGGCTCTGGTCAGTGGCATACTATCGTTGGCAATTCCCAACCTGGAGGGAAAGGTTCAAGAACTCATTGACCGAGTTTGCCAAATAAATTCGCATATCAGGGAAAATCTCCATTGTGGAGAGGTTCAGTAACTTGTTTGCTTCATACGAAACAAGCCAATTGGTGCAGTCTCGTCTCATGAAAATCTAGTACTTGTATGATTGGATTTGTTTACTCGAGTCTGGGCTGTTTGATTTGTGAGTACCGCCGAGAATGCACTGCCCCAAATAAAATTTCGTGCCGCCAAAGCAAGAATTACGATCTGCAATCTGTTTGTAGTACCTGTAGTACATGTACCTGCAAGAATGTGCAGTACATGTATCATACTTTCCCTGATGCTGTTTCAGTTGCCGTCATGTTGCTAAAGAAAGGTTCAGTAGAGAGGTTCTGCAAAACGAAAATTCGAACGAAGTTTCGCGACAGTCCTTGCGAAAGTGTGTACGAATTTTTGCACGAACTTTGCGTTCTGCACAATTTTCGTAGTTTGCGTGGGCCAAGTGCGCGTACGCCATGACCCGATCTCACGAAATTTCCTACGACAGTTCATTTCGCGTTCCCTGCAAGTTTCGCGAAAGTTGCGAAAGTTCGTGCGTAGTTTCGCACTTCATGATGTAGAGCGAAAGTTTGTACACATTTTCGTTTTGCAGAACCTTTCTAGTGACTCTTTTGTTTCATAGGAGACGAGTCAATGAGTCGGTGTGGCTTAGAATCTTTCGCCGTAGAAGAAATCTATTCGTATGTCTATTGGAGAAATAATTGTATTCACTGGTTATAAGATACATGTAGGTTAAGACAAACTCACAGAATAAATACCATCGGTCCCTTGGTGTTCGTCCTAAAGAGGTTCGATTGGATATCATTCATACTCACCAAAAGATGTGTAAGATTGTATTATCATGGAGTGCCTTGTTTATCTCTCAGTATTAGTACCTCCAACCATAGCCTTGTCCCTTTTATCCTCAGGGTCAGTGTAGTTGTTGGAACGAGGTGTCGGACTCAGCAATGTATTTGTTTACATTTTAATACATGTTTATTGTTCCTCCTTTGCTGTGTTGTTTTAGAAAATCGTGGACTAACAGTTTGAAGTCATTGAACTACTTCCAAAAGTTGTATCAACATCAACAGGATTACGATTTCAGTGCAATGTGATGCTGGATGACCTTATCACGATAACCCATGATCATAAACCATTATAAACACAGAATCAACAAAAACATCTGTGACACGCACCTGGCGCATGGCTACATTTCTCAAATAAATCTGATCGAGGGTGGGGAAATCTAAAATATCTGAAAGGCAAGACAAATTTATGACAGTCATGAAATTCTGCAACAGCAACATGCACAGAATGATCTCCGTATAAAATAAGTATCACCACCACCAGACCACTACTCACATGTTTCCCCGCAGAAGGACATGCATTATGCTATTGCCATTTTCTGCAAGAAAAGGCTTGGACATCAATGCGTATAATACGGTATTGATATGATCAAGAGTACATAAACCTCTTGATATGATGTGAAGGCCATCATTTACATATTGATATACATGTAGGGCATTCCATTGATTGGTGACAGAAAAAACAAAAGAAATTATAGCAATAAAAACTGCTTTATGGCAGTTTTCTAAAAAAAGTTATTGTGTTCTAGTCCATGGACCCCGTCTAAAAAGTAAGAAATTACCGAAATGTGATAGCTGAAAATTAAAATTTCACACACAACCTCACAATAATCACACACAGAATTAAAAGCTACAATCAGTCATGTAGAAGACCTTTTCCCCTCGTGATCCTCTTTCCTATGCATGCATGTTGCCAATTGTTGGTGCAGTACAAGTATTAGTTTAGTGTTGAAAGCAGCATTTAAAGTGTTGTGATTATTGTGAGGTTTTGTGTGAAATTTTAATTTTCAGCTATCACATTTCGGTAATTTCTTACTTTTTAGACGGGGTCCATGGACTAGAACACAATAACTTTTTTTAGAAAACTGCCATAAAGCAGTTTTTATTGCTATAATTATTATGGCAATGAAGGTTCCAAATGAATGTCATCCGTGCATTTGCCCATGTACATAACTTCACAGGCAGTAACTTACAATCGTACATGTAGATGTCCTACAAGCTACATGTATTTTGATACATGTACGCAAATCAACTGCAGATCGATGTGATTCAAGCCACGCAAGGACAGAGTGGTTTAGCAAAACTTCCGTGATCTCGCGCAATCCTATTTGCTATGTTCGCAGAGAACTGGTACTCGTTGCATTCAGAAGATGTTCGCGCCCATAGCTAGCTGGGGTGCCTGACACAGCTGATGTGCTGCTGGCCAGCTAGCTGCTAGTGCTAGCTTGTTGAACTCGTGAAATGAATCTTCACAAATCCGTAATCTTGTATGCAATATTTCGAACTACTTTTCAGCTCGTCGATTGAAGGAACAAACTACAACCATGAGTATCATACATGTAGCTACCACCTACGGACATCACCGTTTGTGACACTCCGACTGGTCACTCAGCCTGGTGACACTAGTTCATCAAGAGTACTGTGGCAGGTTTGATGTCGGAGAACCATCGTAACTTTCTAGTTACTCAGCTGCCACCTCGAACGAGTTTCAAGTCTTGCATTTTCTCACATCACAATCAAAAACCTCCAGTACGAGGATTTTTACGTGCACTAGAGTGGAGAGAACAACTGTCAAGTCTGTCTTTCAGCCTGCTCCTGCCTGATAAAGTCGAAAGCGGGAATGCACAGGAAAAAGGAAAAGAGTATCCGCACTCCTATTTTGAGTCTTGGAATACGATAGGATCACCTTTCTTTTTTTTTTTTTTTTTTTTTTTTTTTACAAACGGGTACCCTTTTACTAACGGTACCTGAGATTACCGGGCGGGTACCCGGGTACCCGGTACACCCGTTTGACCCCTAGTTATGATCAAGACCAGAAGGAGGCTATCGTTACCATTGTCATTGCAACTTGCTCATGTGACCTCTGTGCTTCTCCTTGCGCCATTATACTGACGTGCAAGAAGGACTCAGTTGTCACGCACATGCTTAGTACATGTACATGTATAGGCTGTCCATGACATTCCTCTTCTGACATAATTATCGTCAATGGAAAGTACCTTAATTTCTGCATTCGAGGTCGGTAGAACCTTTGACATTGGCAGATCATTCCCGATAACACAGGCAATCACTACACAATCATCCAAACCCTTTTTAGCACTACCCGTGGAATAGGCACGTGCCGATCTGTCTAGCTTTTTAGTCCGAGTTCAAAAGTCATGTAAAGCACCACACAATGTAAACCTATTCCGTGAAACAGGTCTCCTTTTTTAAATGTACCTATTGTGGATCAAATATAAAAGCCAGAAAACTCGCTATTAAAAGTCGGAAAGCTTGTGAAGTTCATCATCATGAATTCATGTTAGAAAATCAAAATCAAACCGCCGCTCTTTGCAGTGACCAGCACTCAAAATAGCTTTTTAATAAAGGAAAAAAGAAAGAAAGAAAAAAGAAGATAAAATGCCAACAGCATCAGAAATCTAGCTTGCCATGCCACTCGACTATCAAAGAGATAGCCTTACAAATGAACAACGAAAAGAGTACACAAGTAAAAGCAAGAGTACATTATCAGTGGTTATGTACTCTTGGTAAAAGCGGTGAATATGAGTGCAGAGAATCTACTAGAGGTGCAACGAGAAAAGTGAGAGCGCCACGGGGAAGACACAAGCTATGCACGAATTAGAAGTGGCTTGGATTACGCAGGCGCAGATGCACACACGCAATTGAGCAACAGCAAGACTGCCAAACAGATCATGACTAAACAGGGGGAATGCAACAGCAAAGCTAACATGCAAAAAAACGTTGCAAATGCAAAGTGACATTTCTACTTTCTTGCACATGCCATGCATATCGAGAATTGGCACGAGAAATGTGATACATGCATGACCGTAAAACGTGTGCAGTGAGAAAGAGATAGGAAAAGCAGTATGGAATGCATGGCTGTCTGACACAACAGTAGCAGCAGAACTTCAATGGTGTCCTGTGCGATGCAGTCAGTCATGAACACTAAGGGAATGATCGCGAGCCAGTCGAGATGGGTAAACATGCGTTGACGAACCGGGTACACACACACACACACACACACACACACACACACGCACATTCCAACAACACATGGAGATGCACATTAATGATACGGGGAGAGAAATAACGACAGGAGACCAGGTAAACGAGGATATGCAGCGAAGCGCCAGACGCTGGCAGATTGGCGAGATGACTGCACACTTGCACACAGCAGCAGCAGCAACAGCGGCGACGGAAGGCCAGTCATACACGCCGACAGAATAATGGGTTTATTGCAGTAGCAGCAGCAGCAGCAACTCTGCATACTTCTTGAACAACAACGACCACCACTGCTACCCACCACTGGCAGCAACAGTGGCAGAAGCAATGGCAGCAGCAACACCATACAGCACTCAGCGCGGGTAGTCAGCTTAAGCATACGCATGCGTGTGCGTGTGCGCATGCGTGTCACGAGTGCTATGTCCTCCGCTTGTCTGTGGCTACTGGCTGAATGCTAAGCAGCAGCAGCACGGCTGCAAGGGAAGCTTGTGCAGCGATGTGTTCGGCGCCACATACATACATCATGGTATATATGAGGAGATAAATTAAAAACATGTCACAATAATACTATTATTTACACATGGGCAAATAACACACACACACCACATGATCACATGGGCAAATAACACACACACCACATGATCACATGGGCAAATAACACCCACACACCACATGATCATAAGCAACGTGCACTGTTGATAATACAACACATCCGGTAGGTCACGTGACTGCAGATCACATGGGTCGCAGGTTTCATGACTGCAGGTCACGTGACTGGTCACCTTGCAGGTCACATGACTGATCACACTGCAGGTCACGTGACTGATCACACCGCAGGTCACATGACTGCAGATCACATGACTGGAGGAACCTTTTCAGTACAGTCAATGCAGAGTTAATTTAGTACAAGAAACATTATCACATGATACGGACGTCCCATGCGGACACATACAACACAAACACATCATTATTATTTCAGGTATGGTTGCAGGTTCTAACGTGGCACTCGACACCGCACTGCACTGAACTCGAAGTAGCAAACACCTACAGCAGAAAGCATGCGAGCCCAAAACCGTTCATCATAAGCGGTTGGCCCGGGAGAGGCGGTTGACCAGGAGAGGCGGCTGACCCGGAAGAGGCGGTCGTCACATTTAGAACATACGCCTGGCGTTAGCACCCGTACCGCCAGTCACGGAGGAGTTTGAGGCGGCGGCAGACGCACCGCCGATTCCTGCGCACACCTGCCACACGGCCACAGCATGGCGACACTCGATCAGCTCTGGGAACCCCTCCAATTGCTCGGTACCACCGTCGCCGTCTCCGTCTCCCATGGCAACCACAATGCCGGTGTCAAGCAGAGCATCGCACAGCGGGTAGTCGGCCCACTTGACGTTACGCTCGGCGTGACGCTCGCTCAGCTCAATCATGATGAACTCCAGCAGCTGGGCGACAAACAGGTCACGCCACTGCTGTGTGCGGCGCTGTGGCTTGTTCAGCCACTCGTTGAGCTCGTCCAGTAGGTCTCCGTCATCCATTGGGTTGGTGAAGATGACCATTACCAGCTCAAACGCGTCCTGCTTAAGCTCTAGGAGCTTGTGCGTGCGCTGCACCATCATCAGTCGCCACGCCGACAGGATGTGATGCAGCTGGCAGGCGCGGCGCAGCTTGCGGCTGATCAGCGCGTGCTCGGGGTTCATCTTGAGCACGTCCTCCATATAGGTGGCCAGTAGCATGCTGCTCTCACCGCCAGACGCCATCAGGAAGCCGATGCAGATCTCCAGGCCGTTGAGAACCGTGCAGACATCCGTGACGTCCACCAGTTCAGCGGCCACCTGCTGACGAACGGAGCGCGTCAGCTCGGTCTGCGGAATGCGTCCGCGCAGCGCCTGCATCTGCGTGGTGTTGTGCACGTCCTCGCTGTACACCAGGCGCACCTCCTGCGGCTCGATCAGCGGGCGGCCGATGACGAAGCGCTGCTCGAGCTGTCGCTCCAGCGCTGCCCAGTCGTACTGCACGTCCAGGCCCTGACCGGCCTCCAGCGTGTAGTGACAGTGGGCCAGGATCAGCGGCATCAGGTGCTGCCCGGTGTCGTAGGACACCAGCTGGGCGTGCGTGGCCTCGGAGAGGAGCACGCGCGGCAGCTCGCGCACGGGAACGCCGCGGATGTGGGCGCAGCGCTCGATGAACTCGTTGTGCGTCATCACAAGGAAGTCTACCAGTCCGGTGGGGTTGCGGCCGAATCCCTCCGTCGTGGGCAGGATGAACTCGAGCGGCGATTTCCGGTGAATGCGATCGTAGCGACAATCCTCGGACGGCTTCAAGCGACCGTGGTTGTACAATGGCTCACGCACCTAACACATCAACAGTTGAAAAAATCCACAAGCAAACAGACACACACACACACACATAGACACACGGACAGACACACAGACAAACAAACAGAGAGACAGACAAACAGACACACAGAATGACAACACAGTTAGAAGGCAACTGCACGCAGAGTCATGTCCTGTGGACAGAAGTTGGCCGGTTGTATTGGACGCCTTTTGAAACAAGAACATGTACAGAGAAAATTATAATCAAGAGCGACCGGGTCGGTGTGTGTACATGATCACACTAGGGTTGCAAGGAATATTCGAATATTCGATTGATGTTCGTTTGGAACCAGATGGAAGGAATATTTTCCCCTGTAGAATATTCGTCCGTTTTGACACGTGCACACACTCTGCTCTTGAGTCGATCTATTGTAGTAATTCTAGAAGGGACGGAGTGATAACTTATATACATCTGTTATGTGTTGAGAAAGGGGACTATCACTCACAAGAGTAGTGGACATGACTCCACTAGACATCAACTTGGTCTAGAACAACTGAGGACTAGCCAAACTCTTTCTAAGGTTCTTTTGGTATAGACTATTCGATTCGTTTACAAAGAAAATCGATTTCGTTCCTATCTAAAATAGTTGTTTCACCCTTAGAAACAATTCAGCATTTTGAGAGAATATTTGTAATTCGTTCGTTATGGGTGAGTATTCGTTCGTTTGTGAAATAGAATATTCGTTGCAGCCCTAGATCACACCACTGCATTATTCACATGCACACATGCACGCCTTTTTCTGGCCAGTGAATCCTTATTTTTCATTTTTCCATTTTTTTACACACACACACAAACACACAAACACACACACACACACACACACACACACACACACACAATAACGTCACATTCACATACTGCAGTAAGCAACGTGCATACAACAACAACAATAACAACCATCATCATCATGAGCGCTGCACTCACCAGCATCCATGCGTCTTCGTAGGCCGCAATCATCTCACCAGCGCGCTCTCGCTCTACCTCGCCCAGCTCCTTTATGTATGTCTTGATGGTGTTCTCCTTGGCCGACTGGCGGTTGATGCGACGGCTGAAGCGGTCGATGAGTTGCCGCTGCAGCTGTACGATCTCGGGCAGGTGCTGCAGAGCCTTGAGCTGGTGCTCATGTTCCAGGAAGGCGTGCAGCAGCGGGAACTCGTCCTTGCGCGACACCAGCTGCACGGCCAGGCCGTCGATGCTCGGACGCACGCGGTAGCGCCAGAGACGCGGCGTTAGGTGGCGCTCGTGCGCGGCCAGCACCAGTACGGGCGTGGCCGAGTCCACCTCGAACACGGACTTCATCAGCTTATCGTTACCTAGGCGATGGTCACCGGTCAGCCGCTGCATTCCATCGCGCACGCCCTCCTCCATGGCCTTCTGGAAGGCGGCCAGGAAGTCTTGGTGGAAGGCACGCTCCCAGTTTCTGCGTGCAATGCGCGACGAGAGAGCAAAGTCCAGATTGCCGGCCTGGTTCGACTTGCACTCTTTGCAGATCTGCGCGCAGAAGAAGTGCAGCGCCAGCAGCGTCTGATCGAGTCCTTTGCCGATGGCCTGCGCAAAGCAGCGGATGTCCACGTCCAGGTGTGCCCAGAAGAACTCGGCCACATGCTGTGCAGGTACTCCTGGCTTGCACATCTCGCCGAGCGAGGCCAGCTGCTGCGGAGTGCTGCACGACGCGCTCCACACCAGGGCCAGGTGCATGAGGAGGCGCGTGAGCACCGTCATGGCCGGGCCCAGCTCGCGTTCGGGCACCGCGGCCGTGCTGCGTCCCTGTGCCTGTCCCAGCAGGTGACCAGCCTGCGTAGCGTCACCGGTGCGTGCCTGTCGGTTTTGTGTTGATGAGACGATGCTGACCGCCGCCGATACGCTGCCCGCAATCCGGACAAGTGTAGTCCTGCATGGGTTGGCCGCACTCGGAGATGTAGTACGGGTGGCCGTTGGGGCACTCGTACCACGCTCCCCCAATGGCGGCTCGCGCCTCCTGCAGGTGGTCCTCGGGCATTGTGGGCAGGAAGGCGGCGCGCATGGCGGCGGGGTCGAACGCAAGGCGGTGGAACACCTCCAGGACGCGATTGCGCTGCGAGCACTCCTGCAGGACGGTGACAAAGTGCACGACCAGGGCCGACACGGAGCGTACGTTGCCGCTCTGTGCTGGCTGCACTCGCATGGCTTGCAAGCCGGCACCCTGTGTGTTGTCGATGAGCAACGCCGCCAGCTCCTTACCGCCGCGGCTCAGCAGGTCCGTCTGCTGGATGAACTCATGTAGTTTCTGCGTGGCGTTGGGAAGCTGCGGATGGCTGTCCTCAGACTCGGCGTGGCACATGGTTACCTCGCGGTAGAGAGCGAGCACCAGCTCGACGGCGTAGATTCGTTTCACACGAGAGCTACACGCTACGGCTGTGGTTAGCTGCGCTATGTCGGTGTTGAGAGCCACACCGGCGGTCGCCTCACGTGTCTTCACGTACGCGTCGCCGTGGACGATGAAGCGATCGGGCACGGCCTCCTCTCCCGCCTCGGGTCTCAGCTTGTCGGGCATGATCCAGCCAAACTCCGGCTTGGTAGCGTCGTTGTCCATTGCCTCGCGGAACGTATCCAGGCCGATGCGCCGCACGATCTGCTTGATGAGGAAAATGCGTATGGTGCTGGCCGTGTCGTCGCTGTCATTGCACAGTCCCTGGACGGCGTGGATCAGGTTGTCGACGGCGATGCGCAGCTTGCGGCCACCCGCGTGTGCACTGTCGCGGTCTTCCGCCTGCTGCTGCTGCTGCTGCTGTTGTTGTTGTTGTCCGGGTGACATCAGTTTCGGATCATCGGGCAGATGTGCTCGGCAGCGTAGGATAATCCGAAGCGGATTCCCGACACCGCTTCCAGAACGTTGACGTTAGCGGCCGGTTGCTGGTGCCAGCTGACGTCGTTGAGGGTGACGCGTGCCCGGTCAATGGACTGGATCACCATCTGTACGGCCTTGGGCTCTCCGTGCTTCTCCTTCATGTCAGCACAGTGACTGTACAGTGCATCCTAACACATACACATACGCACACACGCACGCGCGCGCGCACACACACACACATACGTGCACACACACACACACACACACACACACACACACACACACACACACACGTGCATACACACACACACACACACACACAAACAAATGGTTAACACACGGAGGTACAGTATCGACATGACTATACTGTACAGCGGCCGCACAAGACCTTTGATAGTACCCTAACCAAGAGCACGTTTAGATCACAAGACCTTTGATAGTACCCTAACCAAGAGCACGTTTAGATCACAAGACCTTTGATAGTACCCTAACCAAGAGCACGTTTAGATCACAAGACCTTTGATAGTACCCTAACCAAGAGCACGTTTAGATCACAAGACCTTTGATAGTACCCTAACCAAGAGCACGTTTAGATCACAAGACCTTTGATAGTACCCTAACCAAGAGCACGTTTAGATCACAAGACCTTTGATAGTACCCTAACCAAGAGCACGTTTAGATCACAAGACCTTTGATAGTACCCTAACCAAGAGCACGTTTAGATCACAAGACCTTTGATAGTACCCTAACCAAGAGCACGTTTAGATCACAAGACCTTTGATAGTACCCTAACCAAGAGCACGTTTAGATCACAAGACCTTTGATAGTACCCTAACCAAGAGACGTTTAGATCACAAGACCTTTGATAGTACCCTAACCAAGAGCACGTTTAGATCACAAGACCTTTGATAGTACCCTAACCAAGAGCACGTTTAGATCACAAGACCTTTGATAGTACCCTAACCAAGAGCACGTTTAGATCACAAGACCTTTGATAGTACCCTAACCAAGAGCACGTTTAGATCACAAGACCTTTGATAGTACCCTAACCAAGAGCACGTTTAGATCACAAGACCTTTGATAGTACCCTAACCAAGAGCACGTTTAGATCACAAGACCTTTGATAGTACCCTAACCAAGAGCACGTTTAGATCACAAGACCTTTGATAGTACCCTAACCAAGAGCACGTTTAGATCACAAGACCTTTGATAGTACCCTAACCAAGAGCACGTTTAGATCACAAGACCTTTGATAGTACCCTAACCAAGAGCACGTTTAGATCACAAGACCTTTGATAGTACCCTAACCAAGAGCACGTTTAGATCACAAGACCTTTGATAGTACCCTAACCAAGAGCACGTTTAGATCACAAGACCTTTGATAGTACCCTAACCAAGAGCACGTTTAGATCACAAGACCTTTGATAGTACCCTAACCAAGAGCACGTTTAGATCACAAGACCTTTGATAGTACCCTAACCAAGAGCACGTTTAGATCACAAGACCTTTGATAGTACCCTAACCAAGAGCACGTTTAGATCACAAGACCTTTGATAGTACCCTAACCAAGAGCACGTTTAGATCCCGCAATTGTTCTACATGATCTATCTAAACATTATGATGAGACCTTCTGATCATACTCTAGGGCATAGACAGCCCAGACAAGATGTTAGGCCACGCCGTTTTTTTCTATGTTTCGCGTCACCTTATTCGATGAAATCAATGAGGGAGGGCGAAAAAAATAAAAAGCCATTCAAAAAACAGTGTACGTGCATTGAATTTGTGTACAGTGAAGCGACGCGGCACTGTTGATGTACATCAGGGAGTCGTAAAATACGACTCCCTGATGTACATATACATTGACATAATAGTACATGAATACATGAGTGTATCCCCTCTGCCATGGCTTGTGGTCCAAACACAGGCGGCATGATGATTGTGTGACTTGCGGTCCAGCTTATTGCACACACATGTACAATGAACCAGGTACATGTGTGTGAGCTGAGTTACATTTTCCGGTTTTCTGGGTTTGCATTAAATTTGTATTGCATTCTCAAAAAAATTTTTTTGTTCCGTATTTTTTTTCTTTTTTAAAACTCCGGCTGTGAAATACATGCGCGCGGGGGACGCGAAACAAAAATAAAAAACGGTGTGGCCTTACAGAACTTGCCAGATCGTAAGTAGCTCCTGCCTACACTGAAGTCCAGAGGCAAAGAGAGGGATGCCACTTGCAGTCGAGCTTGACTTTCTATTTACGTGAACATCTTGAAATAATCAGGCTCAGACCTGAAAAGGTGGGGGGGGGGGGGGGGGGGGGGGGCTATCTAGTACTTATGATCAAGGGCAACTCAAAACCAGACAAATACAGTAGCTAGACAAGTATGCAGAAATCCGTCATGCAAAAACTATCTACGGTTACGGGGAAGAACTTACCTCCAGACAATGCACAAACAACCAGCACAGATCGTCATTGTACACGGGGTCTTCAGAAATGTCCTGAGCGGCTTCCAGGTAATGCCGAATATGGTCGTTCACCTGGTGTTCGCTGAGAGACGGTGGGGGAGAGCATGGGAGAGAGAGAGAAAGAAAGACAGAGAAAGAGAGACAGAGAGAAAGAGAGAGAGAGAGAGAGAGAGAGAGAGAGAGAGAGAGAGAGAGAGAGAGAGAGAGAGAGAGAGAGAGAGAGAGAGAGAGAGAGAGAGAGAGAGAGAGAGAGAGAGAGAAAGAGAGAGAGAGAGAGAGAGAGAGAGAGAGAAAGAGAGAGAGAGAGAGAGAGAGAGAGAGAGAGAGAGAGAGAGATAGAGAGATAGAGAGATAGAGAGAGAGAGAGAGAGAGAGAGAGAGAGAGAGAGAGCGAGAGAGAGAGAGAGAGAGAGAAAGAGAGAGAGAGAGAGAGAGAGAGAGAGAGAGAGAGAGTGAGTGAGCATTAAATAGACACAGCCAGACAGCAATGAACATCATTGCCACATGCACAAGCACAGGGGTTTTTTAACCCCCCCCCCCCCACACACACACACACACATAAATGCACCCACGGCAGTTCAGCTGTACCTGTGTCGGAGAAGCAACTGTAGGAGGAAAGATCGGATGACAGGTGGTTGATCACCGCCGTCCTCCTCAGCAAATGGTGTTGGGTGACGGATAGAGTTTTTCCTGCTGACCATTTCAAGGAGCAGCTCCAACAGCTCGTCTTCAGGAGCATGCGAGAGGTTACCACTGTTGATGGAGAACATAGCGATGAGACGAGGTCCATGAAGAATTTCTCACATTGAGCTTTAAAGTGGTGCTGGTGCTCTCGACGGACATGACCACTGCAGTGGAAGGAGAACATGAGGTGGAGAAAAGCAATGTTAGTGGGACTGTCAAAGTGATATTGAGAGAGAGAGAGAGAGAGAGAGAGAGAGAGAGAGAGAGAGAGAGAGTGTGTGTGTGTGTGTGTGTGTGTGTGTGTGTGTGTGTGTGTGCGTGTGTGTGTGTGCGCATCACCAATGAGCAGCTCCGAGAGATGTGGGGTGACCCATCGCTATTGTCCTCCCGGCTTCGGAAGCGGGAGGCTTGAATGGCTTGGCCATGTGGCCCGCATGTCGGATGTTCGTGTACCCAAGCAGCTGTTATTTGGCTTCCTACCGTCGCCTCGGCCTGCGTGTGGTCCCCGTCGTCGCTGGAGGGATGTGATTTCGGCTGATCTTCGGCACATCGGCATTGAACATCTGCTTGGTATGGGATTGCTCAGGATCGGTCTGCCTGGCGGGTGTCTGCCGGTTGGGCCGAGCCTTGGCGGTCCTTCCCATGACCAATCTCAACGGGAGGACTGTCTTATCTGCCACCGTTCATTTCGTCGGCCAGGTGACAAAGCAAGACACAAGTGTAGTGCAGAGCGAAGTCTCCCCATCCAGGAGCAGCGTGGAGCTGTGCAGTGTGGTACATGCAGGAGGTGGTTTCACTCTCGTGGTGACTTGCGTGTACATCATTGTTTGCCCCTGGAACCATCGGAAGCGTCCGCGCCGCCATCACCTATTCCGCTCAACGTCCCAGCTTCTCTCTTGTGTGTGACATGCAATCGGCAATTCAAGTCAGTGCCTGGTTTCAGACGTCACAAGTGCGACCGTGGCCATCGAGCAACCAAGTCTGATAGAGCGTCGTATGGTGTTCGCTGTTCTCACTGCAACCGTCAGTTCCGTCGACAGAGTGACCTGAGTCGTCATCTCCGTTTCTGCTCCTGACAATGACTCTGGCTCCTTTCAGAGTGGTGTGGCCCTTGTG